TACAGTTGAGGACCCCTTGGATCAGAATAATCACCTGGGATGCTTGTTAAAATATAGATTCCCAGGCACCACACTCACCCAACCAAATCTGGGACGTGAGGGAAGAACAGGAATCTGTATTTGTAACAGGAATCTAAGTACTTTCCAAGTACACTCAAGTTTGAGGACTACTGTACTAGGTGAAAATATCCCCAAGCTAACATATGGCACACAGCTAGTTTATGGAATGAGTCAACATACGTTAATATAGAAATTTGCAGGTCACAAAGAAGTCAGACAACTTCCAGTTCAGATTCTAAGGAACTGGGGTTTAGGATTTCTCCTCAATGGGAAGAAAGCATCAAAGGCAGTATGTATAATGTACTAGGGCAGAGACCACATTTTGTTCACCCTTGTTTCATCAGCACAAGGAAGCTCTGTGAACATCTGTAAAATGGAGCAGGGCACAACGTCCCGGTATGAGGCAAGGGTAGAACAGTTAGACAAGTTCCACCGGCCAAGTTCACTACTCACTACTGCTACTGTTTTGGAGAAGCACTATAATAGTGAGGATATGCTATATGACTCACTGTTTTAAGAGCACTCTCAGTCAAGGGGAAGTGGATGGTTAGACGGCTCCACAGCGTTACAGGCAATCGCCAAGTTTGGATGAGTTGTAAACAGAGGAATCCTGTTAATATCTCTACCTCTTGGGATGTTCTATGGATGTAAACATTCTATGTTTGTTACTGGCAGTTGTTTCTGAAAAGAAACAATTTGGCTAATGTAAGCCAGAGAAGTGCCTGGTTAACATCACAATGTTTTCCACACCCAATGGTGATAGTTGTTGCTCTGTGAGACAATAGTTGAGTTTGCTAGATACAGTGGATTCTCATTATTCAAGGTAGTTACGTTCTATAAAGTCACCTCAAACACTGAATTAGTGAACACTCAACCACCGCTCCTGGGGAAATACAGGGTTACATTCCTGACAGCCTCTGGTTGCAAAATTTTCAACAACTGATCAGTACATAACCTTGTTTTATGTATGCTTCTGTTTAAAGGCACCTAATTTAGTATATATTGTTGATTTATTAACATCGAACTCACACCCCAAAGCACTAGAACTCACGCCTGAAGGAAGCTTATCTGACACACGTATTTTCTCCATGAGGCATATCACCACATTCTTGCACTCAGGAACGCTAGACAGCACTTCAGCACGACACTTGGGGGCTGTTTTAAACAGCAAAATCACCAAAAAAAGCACAAAAACATGAAAAACATGGCATTAAATAGACCATGAAAAGGACACCTGTTTACAGCATCAGAGTGGAAACAAGAAGGCAGAGTATTACCTTGTTCAACCTCAGTTGGGAACGTGTGGGCTCAAATTTTTTGACACTCTGTACATGTCCCCCAAAGACCACAAAATGGCCTCAGTGAATACTGACTTTGGGGTTACAAAGAAATTTTGGCAAGTGGGCTAATAATGAGGATGGGCTGTACTTTTCCATTTCCCCCTCCAAGAGTTCCTGTTGGCCCCGTCCTCCCTTGCTTCGTGCTTTGGGAGGCTGACGCACCAGGGCTGCCGGGCTCTCTATCCTCTGGCTCCTAGCTGAGTTCAGTCAATGGAAGGCCCAGCAGGAGACTGGAAGGCTGGAGGAGAGTGAGGGTGGGGTGGCTGCTCTTGCTCTCTCCCTGCCAGGGTGCCAGGATTGAGCCCTCCCCTAAACCCATGAGTCCTGTCAGGTGGTCCCTCTGTGTAGTTTCTCTCTCACCCCTCCCTTAGCCCACAGGTTGAAGGGTGGCAACCTAGCTGTTGCTAACCTCAAGAGTATTGCAATATTCCTTGTTGGTTTCCCTAAACCCTGTCCAAACTTTTCAAAATAGACCCTTTATCAGACTTTCTTCAGTTTCCCTACTGTGCTACCTATTTCCTTCCAGGACCCTGACTGGAATAATGAGGGAGGGATCTCAAAACTACATGGGTTATGTGGAATTCTGACACCATAGGGGACTCAGAATTCTTCAGTCTGCACAGGCTGTAACTTGTGAAACAAAATTGCAAACAGGAATGGGATGTTCCTCTTTATCTAATCAAAGGCAGCTGGGAGGGGGTCTGTTCCTTAGATCAGGCAGCGAAGATGAATGCTGTCAATAAAGACTCACCTGAGGCCTGCTGCTGGGAGAATTGTGTATTTTTAGGTAGCTCCTCTAAAATCATGTTAGGAGAGCATCTGAGGCATTTAAATATATCTAATAATACAGATTAAAAGGGCAATGACTTTTATTAAGCTGTGTGTTATACACCTATACCTGTCAGCTTTTCCCAAAAGACCTTCTCTGGCAGAGATTTTCAAATTCCTCTTTTTCTTGAAACATCCTGATACCCAAAGCAAAAAATGTGCATAGCAATTTCTGTTTTCCTGGCTTTTTGAACATCGTTATTTTTTCCTTTCCCGGCTGGTTTCAATCTTGATGTGCAGGGCTTGCTCAGGACTTTATAACTGCACTGTGTCACATCCTAATCATCATAGATTATCATGTACCATGGACCTTGTTAAAGATTTACCAACTTTATGCTTCAAGGACAGGGTGGAAAATCCAGTTCTGAAAATAACTGATAAGGTTATCCCTGTCACATGTTTAGCTATTACTCAGAGCAAGTACCATTCACAAATCTTCCCAACCAAGTCTGCACTTGATTCCATAGGCTGATTCCCTCAGTTGTAGTGATTATTCCAGCCTATTACTTAATCAGATGAGCAAACTTGAGCTTCATTTTATTATCCCTGCGGGACAGGTTACTGAGAACTGTTTACTTTCAAATAGTTAATTGTTCTTGGCATCGTTTTCCTTATGGAATTCTAAACAAAATGTTGCACTCTAGAGGTCTAATTTGGCACAAAAGACAAGGGTGGTTTCTGCAAGAAGACAATCCATTCAAGTCCCTTCTCAGGGAAAAACCCAGTCAAAACTTGCCTTGAACTGAGCAGTTCAAAGCCAAGAGCATGTGGACCTTGTTAACTCAGTGACAGGTCTCAGACTCCACAGTAAAAAATAAAAAATTACCATCTGTCCAGGCACTTCAAGGTGGAGAGACAGCTGAACTGTTAATGCCACATAATAACCAACTTACCATTTTTTTTTCAGGAGACTTAGAAAACTTTACCTATTGTGGTTAAAATTATTTGAATATTTAACTACGAAACACTCACTATTATCCTCCTTTCTCATGTTTAGTTTTTAATTTAGAAGGTCATTTGAGACTAGACAATTTATGATAGTGGTTCTTAAACTTTTTAGGCTTAAGATCCCTTTATATATCATAAAAATTATTGAGAATCCTTAAAAGCTACTGAGAACTTTCATTTATATGGGTATTGTCTCTCAGTATTTATAATATTAGAAATAGAAACTGACAAGTAAAAAGATTTATTTATTAATTTAATTAAAACAACAATAACAAACCTATTATGTGTTAAAGAAAACATTTTTAATGAAAGAATAATATTTTTAAAAAAATTAGGGAGAAGAGTGGCATTGTTTTATGTTTTAGCAACTCTCTTTAATGTCTGACTTTGTAGGAGAAACTTAGATTCTCATATTTGCTTCTGCATTTAATCTGTTTGATATGTTGTTTCGGTTGATGTATACAAAGAAAATCCAGGGGCTGGCCCAGTGGCACAGCGGTTAAGTGTGCACGTTCCGCTTCAGCAGCCTGGGGTTTGCTGGTTCGAATCCTGGGTGCGGACATGGCACTGCTTGGCAAGCCATGCTGTGGTAGGCATCCCACATATAAAGTAGAGGAAGATGGGCACGGATGTTAACTCAGGGCCAGTCTTCCTCAGCAAAAAGTGAAGGATTGGCAGATGTTAGCTCAGGGTTAGTCTTCCTCAAAAAAAAAAAAAAGAGAAAATCCAGCCTCACAAACATTCAGTTGGAAGAATAAGGACCTTGAAGACTTCCTGGATGGGTCTCAGGGACCCAAGGGTCCCAGGACCACACTTTGAGAACCACTGATTTATGGACTGGTTGATGTTATGGAGGATGTTTGTTCTGGGCTCTACTTCCTGGCAAGAACATGGTTAAAAGCCATAATGTTAATTGTAGGACTCCACGTCACAAAAACAAGTATAACAAAGGCAGAGGTAGTTACTCCTTTCTCTGTTTGTTCTCTCCACATGAAGAAACATACAACTTTTATTTTTCCTTAAAAGATAGGCAGGATTAAAAAGCTTTCCCTTGACTGCTTCATTCTGCCCTGAGTTGAGGGGAGGCAGACACATATGAAAAACCCTTCTGGCAGATATTCACAGAAGAGGAAATTCAGGGAATGCAAGAAGGAAACTGGCAGTTGTTCAAATTCCTAGCTTTATTTCAAAACTCTCTAGGTACAGATAAGTGGCTGCAAGGTGTTCCTGTTTTGGTGAGAAACTTGGAGAAATTGCTACAATGACCTAATGTCAACCTTTTTGGTCTCTATTAGGGGTGGGACAGGGTGGTCCTATTCACTCACGGTAGGCAGAACCTGGGCTGCGGCACTGAAGTGGAGACAGGACCTGGGACCCTGAACAGAGCCACTATGCCCCACAGCCCAGTCTGGCATCTCATGGCTTTTAGTGTTTGGAGACACTGGGGAGATGTCCAGTGTTGGAGACACTGATTTAAAAGAGCAATAAAACCCATGAACTGGAGAAATAAGTTGCTGGAAAGAATAAGAAAGTTATTATCAAAATACTGAACCTTTTACCACAGTGTTCGAGCTTTCAGCCTCACTTCACAGCTAACTAGCTCCTCAAACTCTCTTTCCAGAGAAAAGGAGGAATTCCTGGAAAGGGAGAATGGCAGAAGCTTTCACTGTTCTGTTGCAGTTGTCTAGAGAATTATTTTAGTTAGAGTGAAGGGTGTCAACAGCAGCTGCAGAGAGAAAAGCCTTCGTTCAACGCACCGGCAGGGCAAACAGCAGGTTCTGAGATACTCAAGTACTGAAAACCCACGCCTGTGCTAGCACGTACCTCATTGAAATGAACATCCTGCATTCCGACATCTTCCATCATGGAGGCCTCCTCATCTATGTTGGGGGTGATGACCCTGAAGGCTGTGCATCCTTGTCTAAACATGCCTAGGAATCGAGAGAGCATGGGAGAGAGTCAGAGTTATCAACCTGCAAGTGGATGAACTTTGATGGTCCTTCCTGCCCTGTATGTTTTTGTGTTAAATCAAATAACCAATTTTGAAATCTCTTAGGTCTCAGGCCAGCATTCCCATGGGGAGCCTGGGGGCCACTGTGTGCTTTTCTTCATTTGCTTCCTCATATTTAATCTTCGTCTGCTGCAATTTGTTCCTTTTTCTCATCTCTTTTTATTTTTCACCCACTTTTATTAAAATGTATGCAGTCATTAAATAAACTGTAAACAAACTGAAATAGGTATTGAGTCAAATTAATAGTAAAAGAATAACAACTAAATAATCATTTGATTTGGTAAGATGTCCCATGGTGTCAGATACCAAGAAAAATAAAGAAGCCAAAGCCAATCAAAGAGAAATATATGACTCAAAAATAACTGTTTCCTTCAAGCTGTCATCTTACCCGCTCTGGCTGGGGGTAACCCAGAACTCAGATTAGAACTTGCTCTTCTCTTTCATGAAGTCTACAAAACCAAGATGGAACTCAATAGCTACAGCCGTGAGCTGAGAGGCTGCCGTAGCTGGTTCCACATTAGCTGCCTGGCGGGTAAGGAGGGGCCTTCTTTCCTCCCCACAACTGAAGAGCGGGGCACACACAGCATGAATACTTCAGGGGCCTAGACACTCAGCTCTCTAAGGTGGAATGGTATAAGGTTGGAGCTGGGATAAATACCTGGGAGAGGCTATCCTTAAGCAATAATGGCCCATTTGGGGCCTTTATTCATCTTGGAGTCACTGGGAAAAGTTTTGTCAACTGGACAATATTAGTTGGGCAAAAATGATGAACTGAAGAAGGACTTGAAATGCCTTGTTATTCTAATATTGAGATTGGTGGTTAAAATAAAACAAAACAGAAGTCAAAACTCGAATTGAGACCTCCCACATTTCAGGAAAAAGGAACACAGAGTATTTTGAAATCAAGTATTGAAAGAGCAGACCCTAAAGTCAGAGGTTTTTCTGCTGCGTATTGGTCAAGGTTTCTAAGCCATTCACGGGTTGTCTAGTGCCCCTGCTACTGTCCTAGTTTAGCCTTGCTTTTATTTTGTTCTATGCAGACATAAGATTCCCCTATGAAAAGTATTAATCTAGGAGCTTGAGGATATAGTAACATACAAAAAGCAAAATTACAAAAGCCGACCACCCACTCTGAGGCTGCAGAGTACATTTAAATAAACAACTTAGCTCTGGTGGAATAACTAGAACAGTGGCCAAAGCGCTTTCCTCTACCTGCCCACAGAATAGGATTGCCATCAAAACAGAGAAGCAAGGAAGAGAAGGGAGGGAAGGAGAGCCAAGTCCAGCCATGCAGAGCTGAAAGATAAAATCCCCACACCTCTGAGCGTCACGTGGGTGGGCGGCTGGGCCCTAGGGCTGAACCCACCCTCAAGCTCACCTCCCTGGCGCCTCCTCTGGCAGGTGCTGTGACTGGAGGGGAAGTGGGGTATCTCCGGCCGGAGGGCTATGTCTGCTTCTAAACACCAGGAAAGATATTACCTGACAAAAGGTCTCAACAGGAAATCATGCTGGTAGTAAGAGAATATGGAGCCCTTCTTTAATTTCTTTCTCTTTTGGGCTCTGATATATGAAAAGCCCAGACTCTCTTAAATTCCAGTCCAAAGAGCCAGCTGTACTAGATATAAAGAAATTCCCTGGCCTCGGCATCTGTGACGTTATATCATTTCTCACTTTGTAAATGTACTCGTTAGCCAGATCTGGTGCTCCTGTGCTCCCAGTACACATACGCACATGACCAGCTTTTCTAAAAATGCTGATGTTCTTGATTTTGAAATGGAAATGAGCAACTGGTGTTTAACCAAAAGGAACTCGTGAAAGAATTCATGGCCTGCTAATTTGGGAACAAACTCATAATCTACAAACCGGCAGCACTCACTCCTGCCCTCTCCTTCCACGGGGAGGCAAGGTTTCTAGCCAGCAAGTCTACCTTGTCGTAAAATAAAGCCAACTGGGCTGCATTCCAGAAAATGCTGTTTGATGATGTCCTGTTACAACTGTCTTTTGACTGATAAACAGTTTGAGGGGGAACTATCTTAAGGGAAAATAAAATATTTTCAGCTCAAGATTCGTTGGTCAGGGACAGCCGGATGCAAAGCTCATTAACTAATTTTTGCAAGGTGGAGCCACAGTAAGAAGTTACATGACAACATGCCATCTCTTTTTGTTTTTGATATTGGCATTTCTGCTGTACCTACCAAGTCAAGCAAATGTCATGACAGTGAATAAAACAATGAATACAGTATACACACACACGCACACACACACACAAATCCCCCACCTCCAAATCTCTCTCAATGGCTCTCTCTTGTCTTTGCTGCTTTCTACAGTTCTATATTCATTTCACAAAACACAGGAATCATTCCTCACCTTTCCGTGTGAGATATTCTGCCACCAGGGCTGTGACATGGACGTAGCACATGGCTGCCTATAATAAGAGACACATGCTTCAGAATCACCATTTATAAAGCATGTCATAACACTCACAGACAGAAATCCATTGACTGTATGTACTAATCTTAGATCTCAAGGCACCAACTAGTGTTTCTAATAGCTGACATCTTACCTTTTGAAAAAAGTGCAACAATTCACATAAATTGAAATTTTGAAATAAACTGCAAACTGAGACAAATGGTGGTAAATTTGCTAAGGTTTGTTTCTATTTAGAATTATTAAAATCTAATTTTAAAGATAAAAAAACATTTGTTCTTCATATATCTAAGATTTCTGCATCATTTCTCTTAAAGTGAAAAGAGGACCTACGTGAAGAAAAGGCCTGTGCCTTCCTAGATTCTGAGAGAATTGCTCAAATTTCAGGCTAAAATATTTTTCTTTCAACTTAAAAAAAAAATGAAGCTGTAACTTTTTCCAAACATAGAATTCTAAACCAAAATTATAATTTAATGTTAAATGGATAACATTATAAATAACTTAAAATGAAAGCAAAAAATAAAAATAAGTTTTTTTTACCAAGTTGCTATGGTGATACAAAAAGTTGAAGATAGCTGTTGGAAATGAACCCACTGTAAGGTTCTAATGCCTGAGCTCCTGGTTGTTGTGATAGAAAAATTACTACTACTAATAACATGTAATTCATTTTTATTATGGCTAATGTATAGTTTAAATTTACGGTCAAACAGAATGGACTCCTTGAATAATCAATACATAAAAACAGTTAAATAAATTTTTCAGACATAGAGCATAATTTTACTAATGTAAGCAGTCACAGAAGTTTAAAAGTAAAAGCATGCTTCTTTCGTAATACTGTTGGTCAGACCTAAATGTCTGAGGCACAAATCCTGAACAGAATTTTCATGGGAATGCAGGACCTGCCTTACAGCCTATTGTTTTCCTTAATTTCTCCTGTTTTACAGGTGATGTCATCGAGACACAGAGGGGTTAAAAACTGGCTCAACGTCAGAGAGTTAGTAACTGTGGATCTGGGATTCAGTCTGTCTCCGGAGCCCAAAGATCCAATTCCCGGCACACAGCTCCCCCGGCCCCGCCCTGCCACACTGTCTATTGAAACATGGCAGCTCTGGACACCAGGGAACACCCTGATATCTCTCACGTCCACAGATGGAAGTGGGCTACCTCAAAAAGGAAAAAGCAATGCCCTACCATTACTTTAGTAACACGAAAATTTAATTCTATCATAAAATAACTGAATTTTAGAACTAGTGATGAGTTTTTATACAGAAACTGAGTGCACTTGAATTAGCAGGCATCTATATGAACATGGAAGTTTTCAAACACGGAGCTTTCAAACAATGCTCTTTCGTGATAGAAATATCCCCTTACAGTGCTGTAAATTATTAATTGGCTTCTTTTAATTACTGGGAAATTTTTCTGAAAATCGGCCTCTTTTAGTGAATGGGGCATAATTAGTTTTCTCAACAACCCGGACAGAGAGGCTTGCAGAGCTACCTCGGAGAGATCCCCGTTTTTGACATGGATCCTGGCCATGCTGTCCAGCCACGTCTTCCTGAGCTCAGGAGTGCTGGCATAAGACTTGGCCAGACTGTACTGGAGGTCCACCAGCATCTCCGGGTCATTCTCGTGTTCCTTCATCTGGGCAGTGGCCATCAGAACTGTGCGTATTCTTTTGGTCAAGTCCTTCACATCTGAGGAGAAGCTGGTGTGCTAAAACAAGGGTAGAAGAACGACACGTGGCTTTCAGCTGCGTTCTGTCTGTCCACATACATACCAGACGATGAGGCAGAGTCTTGGGATTGACAAATAAAACAGGACCGGGCCACCCACCTTGATGAGCCTGTCGCTGTTGGCACAGTTGTTGATGATAGACAAGGACTGCTGGAATCTCGTTCCCCCGATCCCAACAACATCTGCTATCAGCTGGCTGACGGAAATAATGACCTTAGGGACACACAAACGTGAGCAAATCAATTCACCTTCAAATGACTTCCCAGGCTCAGCTCCTGTCTTTAGTTAGGATGTGTATGAGGACAGGGCAAAGCGGAAGTTTTCGGCAGAGATCACTCCAGTGTGGGAAACAACGTCTGAGTCATCTATTTCCTCCAAGAATTATTCCAGAAGGTGATTTTGTTTTCCTTAAGTATTTTGTTTGCACAGCAAAATGCTAATCAGGAAAGTGTAGGGAGATGTGGATCAGATAAGTCCATATCACTTGCATAGTTACTTACCTACCACTTTCTCTAACAAAAAGGGTTGCTGTTGTTAGTGTTGTCGAGTGGATTCCAACTCCTAATGACCCTGTGTTCAGCAGACTGAAACCCTGCCTGGCCTTTTCGAATCATCCTCTCACCTTCTGGTGCTGTATCAGACAATGCTCTGCTACTATTCATAGGATTTTCTTGGCCAATTTTTTCAGAAATGGGTGGCCAGATCCTTCTTCCTAGTCTATCTAGTCTGGAAGCTCTGCTGAAACCTGTCCACCATGGGTGACCCTGATGGTGTGTGAAATACCAGTGGTGTAGCTTTCAGCATCACAGCAACACACAGCTGCCAGAGTATGACAACCTACAGACAGGTAATGTTGTTCCCCGACCAGGAAAGGACCCCGAGTCATGGAGGTGACAGCACCACATTTTAACCACTAGACCACCAGAGCTGGCAAAAAGGGAGATCTTATCACCTACTTCCTCGGTTTTTGGTTTGAACTTATTCGTACTACATATTCAATAAGTGGACTGTCCTTTGCGTTTTTTATTAAAACGTATATGTATTAACTATGCAAAGGGGGATCTGTCTTTTTGGGAGTCTATGAATGGCACTGCCTTTTCTTAGTTACTCAGGCTAAAACATGGATGCTATCCTTATTCCCTCCTTTTCCTTTACCACACTCAGGTACAATCAATCACTTAGTATTGTCACCTTAATCTCCTCTTCCTTCTAACTTCACCATGCCTGGTCCAGGACACCATCCTCTCTGGCCTAGATCTAACCATGGTTTCCCTAAGGTCTTCCCAGCTAAGGTCTCAACTCCCCTGATCCATTCTCAGCATTGGAGTCTATGAGATCCCTCCAAATATGCAATGATGCCTCTTTAATCTGTTCTCACCTGCACTATTAGGACCTTCTCCAGTTTGCCAGACAGGCCCTTTCACACATGGTGCATCTGTAGCCTGGAACATGCTCACCCTCTATACCTGCTAACCCCTGTTCATCCTTCACATTCTCTGGGAAGCTTCTCTGGCCCCCAGCCAGATGCCCCTCCTTGGTGCACTCAACTTCCTCTCTTATAGCACGAGGCACACTACATCACAAGAACTTCGGGGTTTGTCTGTCCTCCAGCAGACTGTAGATTCCATGAAGGCCAGGCTCTAGAGGATTCTGTTTTGTTTATGGCTGAATCCATGAATCCTAGCACGTAGTTTGCAAACAATAAATATTTCTTTTAAAAAAGGAATAAATACAGAGATGGAGAAGGCACTTCTGTATGTGTTAGCAGAAAAAGAGAGCCTACAAAAATACATAAGACTTTTCAGTATCTTGCAAGGTTCCTAGAACAGAGAACTGGGGACATTTTAACTCTGGAGAGATGGCAGGTGTGTCAATAGATGGAAGATGAAATGAACCACTTTGGGCTTTTGTGTCTTACCCAAGATGTTTACTATCAGGCATCACATAGGTTCTATTATATCTTGATTCAATGGAATTTCAGTCAGTCTAATATTGATTCAATATTTAAATATCAATTTACTAATAGAAACACATCCTGGGCCCAAATCTTACAATGTGGAGGATGAATGAAATAAACCAAATCAGTAAATGTGACTTTCAAATTTTCCATCTTGAGGCCGGATCTTGTAGTAGCTATGCTGAGGTAAATTGGTAAATGCGACACTCAAAGTTTTCCTGCTAAAACAGAATTCCACACAGCACACTTGCACTGGAAAACTACACTACACGCACTTGCAAATGTGTCCGGACAAAGGACTTCTTTCCAGTGTAGTCGAAGTTATTCCTCATCAGGAAGTACAGCAGCTGGGAGGCCTCGGTTCTGATGGAGCTCAGTTTGGAGTTACAGCACTTGAGAATCTCATAGCACAGAGCAGCACACATGTCAGCTCTCCCTTCATAGAACGTGGAGGGGAACTAGACGGAACCCAAGAAAGCAAATAAATCACATAAAGGTTAGCGCTCCCTTCAACTCCAGGTGGAAAGTGGAAAATGTATGACAATCAATTATGACCTTTCCTGATGAAACAGCTTACCTTATAAATTAATGACCTTAAGGCAGTGAAGACATTTTTTAAAGCCGTTTCAGACTGATTTTTTTGAAGAAAACACAGGTAGACATCAAAAACTTTTTTCATGAGAGGATTATGTCCATGGTCAGCCAGGAGCTGGTTCTTAAAACACACAAAGGACAGCTTGGTTAGTGAGACACACCAAACACCTCTAATAGGTTTCATACAATTTTTGGGCTCAAAGGTTAAATTTTCCAGATACTAAGACAACTTCTAATTTAAAGAAACTCTGCCATGAATGCCCTAGGAAAGCACAGAATCCCCTTGTAGTACAAATAAGCTATCAATAAATTTATGCTTTGCAGCGTTGTTTTCTGTTGGGAGAGGGACTAAATATAAAACTTCCCAGCAAACTGTAATATGGTTTAAAGGACCACTGTTCCTCAGTACAGACTGGGCTTCTATTTATTTACTTAGCTTTAGTGCATACCAGCAACTGATATAGAGGTGATGTTTGTGACACCTTAATTCCAACAAAGACGTGCCATTACACGTGTCAGCTAATTAATGGGCTGGAAAAAATACTGAAGTGAGGTATATGAAACAGCTCCTCTACAAGTGAGGGTTTCCCCCCAGGCTTCTCAGGCACTCTGTTAAGCTATGAATAATCAGACAGTTTGCTAAGTTGGAAAATGTGCAGGCTTTGGTCAGGCACCATTGACCGTGTGTATGGATTTGTGCAGGTAAACCAAGTCTCACCATTCTTACCTGTAAAACAGAGACCCTAAAACTGACCTTGCACAGCTACTGTGAAGACTTGAGGTCAGGTACAGAAAGTGTCTGACACATTCTTTGGTCTAGCTCAATAAGTGATGGCTAGCAGGACATAACATGTCATGAGTTTTACTTGATAAAACAAGAAGGCCACAATGAATTACTTCTCCTCATTCTTCACGATTTCCTCACACCAGCAGCACATTCACACTAATTAAACACCTTGTAAGCCTGGCTGGCTGAAATGCCCATCCACAGCTGAACACACACTGTAGAGAGAGGTGTCACCCAGCCAGAGGTCCGCATGCAGCCATCGTGCTTAAACGTGTGTGACACTAAAGAGCTGCATCTTCAAATACAGACAAGCCTGTCTGAACAAAGGTGTGTGTTTGGGAGGAGGCACATGTGTGCATTTTGCACAAGCAGCCAAAATTGGTGGTAATAAAAAAATTTCAAGAGGCCAGTATCTCAAACCAATCTTACAATTTAGGTAAAAACAGAGATTACTTATGTCCAAATAATTCTGTTACATAGCAAATTATGGCTAGAGTAATAGCTTCAAGATTCACCTCATCTTATTGTTGGAGAAAAATTTTTACTCAAGGAATAAGTTTTGTTTTTTAGGTCTAGCGAGTCACAGATGCATTCACAGCTGGGAGGACAGTGGAACTCACAGTGATCTTGACATCATGAAGTACTGAGGGACAGTACTGAATTCCACCATGTGAAAGAGAAGCAATTTAATGAGCAGAAAATGTGACTTAATTAACTGAGGATCACAGAATTCTCAACCAGGAGCAGCTGTTCACCAACCAAAAAAAAAGTTGTTTCCAGTGTTTGGGGAACCGCTTACATGGTTTGTTGTCTGTGAACACCGCTTTTCCCAGGAGACATGGTTCTTCCTAATTATGGGTGGATTAAGGTTTGGATGAATCTGGATGTGAGTTTTTATTGTCTCAGCTCTCTTTGCTGGAACTATACAGGAGAGATGGTTCATACAAAAATTGCCAAGACCCCCCATCTTGCTGTCTGAATTGGCCCATCTCCAAGTTCTTACCCCTGGAGTTAAATTTTCCTTTCTTTCACTATCTCTGGTCAAGGGTTTTGCTTCCCATTTTCATGATTTAGTTTTTTTGGAGTACTGATCTCAAAACCTGCTTGCAAGAATGGAGTTCAAACTCACTTATACAAGGTATAAAGAAACCCCCATTTATAGGGGTAAAGGACCTGTCTCCCTGGACATACCCCAGTCTAACGTTGCCCATCCTTAATTTTCCAATCAATTCTCTTCTCTCCCTCTGTCTCTTTGTGTGTGTGTCTCTGTCTCTTTCTCATTAATTAGAAAGTAATATACACTAAATGTAAAAAATCTTTGAACATTCAGAAAGGCCCACAGGGGGACAAAAAGGCAAAACAAAAATAACCCTTCACTTTTCCACTCAGAAATAACCACACTAACAATGGAGGGTATCTAATTTCCACTTTTTTATCCCTATAGACTTTTCCTGAGGATGAGAAAATTTCACTCAGGAAATTAAATGAGACGTTAGAATAATATGAAAGGCAGGACTTATTTCTAGCAATAAGGTGAAGAATAGGTTATAAATAATTCTCAGGAATTGTGTGATGTAGATTCAGGTTTGACTGTTGTAACATGGCCTCCTAAGGGAAATGAGCCTTTCAGAGAACAAACATACAATATTAGTAATTTTTAAAGATCGAGGAACAGAAGAAAAAACAAACCTTGGGTGCTAAAATGAGATATCTGGAGCCACATTATTTAAGATAGCTACACTCTTCCTAGGCATATGGTATTTATTTTTATTTACATATCGATTTAAAAATAACTTGAAAAATCTAGTTTAAAGAAGAGTTGTGTCAGTTGCAGATGCTCACCAATCACTAAGATGACCCAGACCCCATGTGTCTTTGCAGAGCAGGCTCACAGTTGTGTAAACCAGGTCACAAACTCCCTGCAATTATCCAGGTGCCCCTCATCCTCATGCACAGGTTCTCACTGTGCAGCTCAAATCAAGAAAGGCACTTCAGGGAACTAAAAATACATTTTCAGACTAAATGAGTGAACACACTAAAAATATTATCAACTATGTAAAGGCCAGCACTGGTTTGGGATTGTGTTAGTAGATATTGTAAAATAGCCAGAGAAGAACTGTACTTTTCTGCATGTAACTACCTTGGTTTATTAAACACACTCTTTTACATATTAAATGAGATAACATATGTGAAAGCGCCCAGCAAAGTACTAGCCTCCAGTAAGGGCTGGGTAATTTCCTCCTTTTTCCTGTACGAGAGACCGTCCAACTACTTTGATACTCATTCAGCTTAGCTCCCCTCCCTCCTCCGTCCTCCTTCCTAACTTGCTGGAGAACAAGGGCTTGGACAGGCCAGTTGTGTAGAGATCTTGGGCAAGGGTCCTAACCTGTCTCAGCCTCCATCACCTCATCGATAAAACGGGGGAGAAGATCTATGAGGTCAGGCTGTTGTGAAGATTAACACTTGAAGCACATAAGGCACTCAATGGATAGCAGGAAGCTAATATATTAATAATAATCAGAATTCAAGGCTTAAATCTTTGCAAGCTTTTTCTCTCATTAAGAACTAGATTTCTTCATTGCCTTTGGCAACTTATTAGATGTGCTTAATTAAGGGACTCAGTAATGATGGGGCTATATCTGTAGAAATGATTTTCCTGCAAACAATTACATCTGTTAACTCAATGAAATAACTTAATTTTTCTGATATTCTCCAATTGATGCCTCAGCTGAGCAAGTATGTGCAGAGGAAGATCCCAGTGGCTGCTGTGCTGGTGGGCCTCATGAACCTGTGAATCTAGGCCAGGTGAGCCTATAGCTTGGCATGACATCCATTAATACCGTAACATCTGCCCATCCTCCCACTTTTCAGTGAGGGGTGCTGAGCTTTAAACATCAGACATTTTTGCATACAGGCACATAGCCTTTGACACCTTAGCTATAAAGCTGAGTCTTCCTTGTGGGTCTCAGGATCAGAACCTTTATCACAGGACCAGCAAGGCACGAACACTTGGGAAAGTGCTTACTGCTAAACTAGAGTTGACATTTGAGCTCCTACTATGTGCCAGACACAGGGTAGGTGTTTCTGGATATTTCATATCCATCTGTTAGTATACAATAGGCATAATCGCCTCATTCTAGATAAGGAAATTAGGATTTAGAGATGCCACATAGACCACCCAAGGATTAAAATCTGGCTAATGGGGGAGCTGGGAGTTAAAGCCCATGGTACTTCTGTATACACAGCTGGCTCCCAAGTGTATTGGAGCCTCGTCTGTATCAGCAAAATGCTAGGTCATCTCACTTTAAACTTAAAACAGCCCTGTGAGGCACATTGTATTTTTTCAATCTTACAAATGAGAAATCTTAGGTCTGGAGACATGAAGTAATTTTCCCAAGGACATTGAGCCAATAAATGTCCCAATCAGCTTTCAATCAGAGACCATCAGAGGTTGTTTCTGTCTCAACAGTCAGAACCTATCTGGTGGCCAGACATTGGAGGTCTGGGAACCTTAATGAATACTCTTCTTTATTATGAAGGAAGCAATATAAGGGGCCAAATAAGAACTGTAGGCTGTGCAGTAAGGAAACTGTCACTATTCTCATGGTGATGCCAGACCACACCTGTGCTGTGTGTACCCTCACCCCCACCCACTGTGCCAGGCCCACACCTGCTGTGCAGCGCCAGGGCCTCTTGCTCATTTACACGGTGGGGCCCAGGCAGAGGGTGGTAAAGCGTCCCAACTACTGTTCAGAACTGAAGGATTCACAATTAGCACTGAAATAGTATACACGGCAAATACTCACCTTAAAAATTTCATGGCCTATTTACATAAAAATTTTTAACTGAAAATATCCAAAAGAAAATAGAAAGAGGTTCCAAACGTGGTTCTAGTAGAGCAGTGGTTCGCAAGCCATAGTGTTCAGGTCTCACCCACAGAGTTTGGTTTGGTTGGTCAGGGCCCAAGAATCTGGATTTCTAACAAGTTCCCAGGGTCTGCATCTGCTGCTAGCCTGAGGACCACAATTTGAGAGCTGCCAGAATAGCGGCTCCACGTATCAAGGTACTGCCGCCCCCCATACTCATTCTGTTAGGATCCTCCTCTCTCAACTAGGTTCCTAGTAATGACATTTCATGGGGACCTGAGTGGCATGGCTGCTAAGAAGAATAAAGGGCCATAATATCAGGGTAACTATTTTTACTCTAATAAAGAAATGCACTTTATGAGAAGTGGAGATGAGTAAAGCAGAGAATGACTTTGGTTATATTTCCCAAATGCCCATACAAACAAACATATAGTTTCAATATTCATGGCATATTAACACTAATTCAATTTCCCCTTTCTGTGCTAGAAATGGAAGTAATCACTTAGCAAGCATGGGAAGTGTTAGGTTCCTAAAAACAAGAGAGTGGCTGAAGAGACCATCTCCACCTACTTCAATATTACTTGCTAAATCCTAAAAATAAGACCAAAACAACCTTTTATTTTCTATCTCTGAAATGTTCCTATCATTTAATTTAGTAACAGATAAAAACCTTTTTAAAAGGTAAATGTGTTTTTACTTATTGCTCCTCAACGTATAAATATCTAATTTTAACGGCTACCACATTTGGTTATGTTTAAAGATAGCGGGAGAAATGCCTGATTAGGTTCCCATATTTATCATCCTTGAGGGCCTAGCAAAGCCACATTCCTCAGGTAAATGCTTTCTTCTAGCCAAGTGTTAATCACCTCCAGAGACTGCTTCCACCCTTTGCAAGCATGCGGCACACTCTGACCAGTTGAGCTTTATTATATTTCTGGGAATTCAAGTCATTAACTGTGGAATGGTTTTATTAAGGGAAATTAAGATTAGTAGTTTCCTTACAGGGGCAGAATAGTTGGCTCAAGTGAAAATACAACATAAGAAGTTCTCGCTGGTTCAGTTACATAAGCAGAATGAATGTAAAAGGTAAAGCTCTGACCAGGAACAGCTATTCAACACAAACCTTAAACGCCAGTGTGAACAGAGAGAGAGTGTCCAGAGCCGTAAGGCACACCTCAGTAGCAATGTTGGCTTCAAGTAATGACTGGTGAAGAACATCTGCATCCGAGTGGCCATAGCCTGCATGAATTATAACACAAGTTACTGCGGAGTGGCTGCAGACAGAAAGGCTGGTGGAACGGTAGAGTCACAGTCAACTTTTGATTATTAACAGAAGGCTTATTTCAGGACCTCATCTCCCTGTTTGCCTCCTATTGCGGGGAGAGGGGAGATATTAATAATGTTTCCGTTCAGTTATAACTTTTTCATCACTGAAAGGAAGTAATAGCAGCAAACATTTATTGCATGCTTGCTATGTGTCAGCCATAATTCTATGATCTTTACATGTATTACCTCATTTAATCCCTCAATAGCCCTATGAAGTATGTACACTATTAAACCCTTTTTGCAGATAAGGAAACAGAGGCACAGAAAGGCCAAACGACTTATCTTAACCCACACAGTTAGTAAACAGTGGAGCCAGGAAGGCACCTGGACGGGAGTCGATGAATCAATTGAGCCAGCTGACTGAGCTGTTAGGATGGCGGGAGTGGTGAGGGAGGTTGAGATTTCTGAAGCTTCCCACACAGACAGAGGCAGCCGCATAGCAAAGGGTTAAGAAAATGAGCTGAGAGCTGGGCTGCTGGTCCCTGGACCCAGCTCTGCCACTTACTAGCTGTGGGATCTTAGGCAAGTTCTCTGACCTTTTTATATCTCAGTTTCCTCATCTGTACAGTGGGGATAATAACAGTATCTACCTCAAAGGGTTGTGGTGAGTGTTAAATTCGTTAATAGTTGTGAAGCTCTTAGAGTAACACCTGGCACATAGTGAATGTTATCTAAGTGTTAAGTCAATGACTTAAAGATCTGCATTATCAGCTCGAATCACCAACCATAATCAAGAGTTGACTGCACTGCTAATACTATTCTACTTGCTTTAACAAAAAGCATAAAAGCCACTAAGTCTGAAAGAAATGTTTAAGAAAAGGAAAGGATTTAAGGAATCATAATTTAAATACAAACTGATATCTTCTGCATGTGGCTGTAAAATCAATTTAGTACTGACATAAATGGAGTTTGACATACAATTTGAGATATTAAATTATGAAATGGTATGTATTAGCAGAAATATATATAGGGATGCAAAGATGTTACAGTACTGATGTAGATTACAAAGAAAGATGGCAATATAATAAAACATCACGTAATGTCTTTCTCCAAGGAGCAAAAACAAATCAACACTTACTATGCAGGTAATTTTCTTAATACTCCAGAGAGGAGGACATTTTGTATATAGATCAGGAAAACGAAGTACAGAAAACCTAGAGAATTTTCTTGAGGCCAGTAAAGGAAAAAACCCCAGAAACTATACTCCAAATTCCTTATCCAGGTCACTGTATCATAGTACCTATTATTAGGATAAAACAGAGTAACTAGCATGATGTTATTCTGTCTTTAATAAATGTCAGTTACAGAATGATTTTTAAAAGGCTACAAAAAAGCTTTTTAAAGCTACCAAGTTGCTTTTGAAAGTATGATAAAAACACTATTATGTGCTTTCATCCAATTTTGCTTTGGTTTTAAAAAGCTGGTTCTAAAGTTTTGTATTAGTGGACTGCATTACTCTCACACTGTGACAGAACCAGTGTGTCCTCAGTGAGGCTATGTAATACATTTGGCACTCTGCTAGTTCTGTTTTTTTATTTCTGCTTTTTTGGTAAGAAATCTCCCAGAGAAAAGAAAGATGGACATTTTTGGGTACTAATATTCATTGAACTGCCTTTGTAAGCCATCATCCGGAGAGGTTTGTTTGGTAAGATACAAAGACAATGAAAGAGGAAAACAAACAGATTGATGATTATTTTTACACTGATCACGAGCTGGGGTAAGAAGAAACCAAAAAATACAACACCTTTTATTAGACCAACCAAAATCGTCACACAGGTGGAAAGGACCCTTCACTGAGGGCTGCCATTTGACCCAAGTGAAGTTTTATAACATGGATTAAACTGTAACAAGGAACTTAGTTTGGTGAATATTTTAATTTCTTTCTCTGCATGGAATTTTCCTTTTCTCTTTCTAGATAACTTATCAACTAAGTGTATCCAGGTGATGAGATGGCTACACACTGAAGAATGCCCACAAAATTGACCTACTCCTGGCTGTAAGTCTGGAACAATTCAAGAATTGGAACTTGGTAATGTGCTGTTAAAACATACAATCGATGGGCAATGCTACTTAAGTTATTATGTAACTATGTATACGCGCATGGAAATGCGATGACAAAATTTCTCCAAGCTATTACCCCGCCCATAAGCCATTACACTATCTAGTTTCCTTTAGAATAAGAATCAGATTCATACAGAAATCTGTCTGCCTTTGTCTGAATCATATAGGAATAAACGAAAGGGTCCTTTTAGCCACAACTGGTTATAATTTGCTTTTCCTTGAACTGTTTCATCTCAAAAATCAGCAGGATTCCTGAGTTAGTGTTATTTTAAAAATCTCCCCAAATAAGTGGCAGCATGGAGAGGTTCTGTGAGTGATAGAGACTGCTTGGATAATTCGCCAAGTGACATCTCCCATGGAAAGCTCTGGACGCAGGAAAGCTTTAATCAATGGTCACCATGTTACAGGCCAAAACAGGTAAAGGAAACCAAGCTGGTAAATCCAAGAAAGGAGTCTTAAAGGACACAGCAATTTTTTAAAGTAACAGTCAGCAAACTTTTGAAGCTGATTAAGTGGATTCTGACCCAGGCAAGGAAGATGTTAACCTTAATGACTTCCACTAGGTGGCAATGGTACCTTGGGGCAGGGGTCACTGATGGCCTTCACCCAGGCTGGTCAGGGAGAGGGGAAGGACTTCCTGGATGTGCCATTGTTGACATGTATGTCAAGGGTTCTTCAGAGTCCTTAGGACTCACTGCTCACATTTGCACAGTTCTCATTCTGTTGTCACTCAGATAAGCAATTTGGGTTCTAAAATCCCCAAATCTTTTAAACACTCACAGGCCAGGGATGAGATTTTTTTCCCTCTAATGTCATCTGCTGTTTAGACTTAATCAACCTGACTCTGTTTTATAAATTCCTGTTGCCTGAACAGCTCGATTTAATAATGCTGACCACATCTGTACACCATCCTTCCCTCTCCATTGCCATGAGACCAGAGGTGATGTGGTGGGAAGGACAGAAGCCTGATCCAAGCCACTCCCCTTTTCTGAATGTCAGAGGACATTTGGGCTAGAAAAATGAATCAGATACATATTCTCATAGGAAGTACTCCCATTTCAGCAGCTGCCTTCACCTTTTTGTTTTTTTTAAAGATTGGCCCTGAGCTAATATCTGTTGCCAATCTTCCTCTTTTTTTTTCTTTTCTTCTTCTCCCCAAAGCCCCCCAGTACAAAGTTGTGTATTCTAGTTGTAGGTCATGCTAGTTCTGCTATGTGGGACACAGCTTCAGCATGGCTTGATGAGCGGTGCTCAGGATCCAGAAACCGCGAAACCCCAGGCCGCCAGAGTGGAGCACGTGAACTTAACCACTCGGCCACGGGGCAGGCCCCTGCCTTCACCCTTTATGAAACCAGAATTCTTGTTTTCACTTTTAGTTTTTTCTCTGGCCTATAATATGCATCCAGAAAAATAATACTTTTTATGAGAAAAGTAGAAATACTAAATGGGAAGGAATATTCTTGCTAACAGAATTTCCCACATGTAGAAGACCTAGTCTCCTGGATATATTAATTCATGGTCTACAGCTTTCACTAACTACACATATTTATGCAAAATATCAGACTGATCAATCTCTACACAGTCTATTATTCGTCTCCATCCTACTTTTATTGCTAAAAAGGTTTTCCTGGGGCCAGCCCTTTGGTGGAGGGGTTAAGTTCGCACGCTCCGCTTCGGCAGCCCAGGGTTTTGCCGGTTCGAATCTTGGGCGCAGACACGGCACCGCTCATCAGGCCATGCTGAGGCGGCATCCCACATGCCACAACTGGAAGGACCCACAACTAAAAATACACAACTATGTACTGGAGGGCTTTGGGGAGAAAAAGGAAAAATAAAATCTTTAAAAAAAAAAAAAGGTGAGAAAAAAAAAAAGATGGGTTTCCTCACAGATAGGTAAGGAGTAGAGAATAAGGAATAATATCCCAGGGCAAAAAATCATGTGATTTGCTGTCTGCCCTCTGATTCACACACCAAGAAAACAAATATGCTCAAAATGATTTGTGGAAATAGTCTATAATCTCATAGTTTACATGTGAAAAAATGGTTATGCTATCTGCTTTCTCTTCTCTGAAGATCACTTCAACCTAATGTTTAGCTGTGTCTGAAAAATGGTACCTAGTATGGGATATAGACCCAAACTATGAAGATACTTGGTTTAAGCATACTATACGCCTTAATCTTTAAGGATATTAAAAATAATAAAAGACTGACTTTAAACAGGCATTATGCCAGACTTTCTCTATTCTGAGACTCTATCAATTGCAAGAAGCACCAATCAACGACAGACTGCTACACTGGATGTAACATGCAAAATATATCTGTAAGACAGATCTGATCCAACTGTGAGATATACCATGATTTCAGAAATGTTAGAAAATGTGCAAAAATGTATCTCTTAATCAAGGAAACATGTCTCAAAATCAGGAAATGTGGCTTTATAAACAAACATTTCATTTGCTATCTTGAATATAGAGATTAAAGCATCCAAGCCTATTTTACTATCTTAAAAGACATATTGTCCATGCTTAAAGCCTTTTGAAAAATACTAATTTTACTTCAGAGGATATATGCATTCTCTGCATTTTTCATGTTAATTCAATATTATACATAGTAAAGGAATTTAATTATCATCTGTGCTCATTTTCTTACTCCCACTTCATAGATACCAAAGAATTCTGGAGTTAGATGGGGTCTACCAAGCCATCTTCTCCAACTCCTCATATGATGCTGAAGTGACCTGGACTATATCCCCAATGGGTCCTCACCCAGTTTTCACACGTCCAAGTGCAAGTGCCCATACTAGCTAATGGGCAATTCAGCTAGAAAATGCTTTCCCACATTGACCTGAAATCTAATTCTCTGCAACTCAATCCAGTGATCTCAAACTGTTTCTTATATTGCATTATAGGAAATACAGGTTTTCTTCAAGTATTTCTACCTGTTGGCTGGTTTTCCCCCCATTGCACCCCTGAATTATTTGCATGACATGAATTATCATGCAAATGAATATATCCCTATAACAATCCAGAAGATCAGAGTAAATACAAAGTGTTATTTTATATTTTTTGCAAATGTATCACTTATTTGAAAACATGTTTTACTTAGTTCTCCCCCATAACATGATTTATATAGAATATTCTACATGTAGCTATCATACTCAATTTTTCATTTAACACAAATAGCTTCTATTGATACACAATGGGTGCACTTTACAGTAAGTAGGTCAATGTCTTCATATTGTAAACACTTACTTTTCATATACCTGGGCAAAACCCAAAAAACCAACCTCTATCCTTTTAGTGTTTTAAAAATAGTTAAAGACTATTTGGCCACAGTGGGATTTGTCATTTTCATTATTTCTTCTCAAAACCCAAGAGTTTTAGTCCCTGCTAGAGTTATACGTGTAATGCATATGGTGTCTTTTCCCCATGTCCTACTGTTAATGGGTGATGGAGACAGTGCAGCTTGGCCGCCACTGGATTAAGTTTCTCGTGGTCATCTGCTGCCCCCTACTGGTCAAGCTGAGGTCTGACAAAGCCTTTCCTACCCAAAGAGGAAATAAAAAATATAGGTGCATAGAGGACTCTTCCTATTTTTATTCTTTTCTAAAATAAATTCACTTTAGACTCTGGCATCCTGGCAAGTTTCTCATTTACTGGATCTACGTCATATTGGTTGGCCCAACAGAAGGTACTGTATTCACTGTTAAATAGGAACATTTTTTAAAGACATATATGGCTACAATTTTCTGATAAAATACTGAGGTAGATGTAAAATGTCATATATGTATGCATACATACACATGCTAACACACATACACATGTATACATACAGTATACACTCCTTCCTCTGTGGATTTTGACCAAGTTGACAATTTGGAGCTCAAAAAGCTAATGGAGGGAAGGGCTGAAGCCACCCAAAAATATAATCAGAATTAAAGATGTAAATGAAGACTGAGTTCTAGGGGAAGATTCAAGGACTTTGAGGTATCTGAACCAATTTGGAACACAGGCGAAGGCTAAAAGAATCGGCTACACACTGTTTATCAGGAAAGCAGCAGGAGAAACTCTGATTGAGGATAGTGTCATTGAAAACTGACTACAGCAAAAACGACAGGATGAAAGAGGAGAGAGGCAGGAAGGATGGAGTTCTCTGTGGGTAGCAGGGAGAGAGAATGGAAATCAACCATGTTAACAATATGGTTTTTGGCAGCAGAACACAGCCAGCTGTCTCCTTCCTCCAACTGAAGCCATCACAGCGGAATCCATTTGCAGTGAGAGGGGCTGCTGCATCTCTTAGTGGATTAAGGTTATTGATGCGTGTGTTAATCATTCGTTTTATTTTTGTTTATTTTCTGTGTTTCCTAAATGATTATCTTTGGAGGCAGGGCCTTGGTCTGCTACTGATTTTTTTTTAAGTGCTTTAAAGTTTAAGCATTCACTTCAACTGACTGTGAGACAGTCCCTGTATTAAAAAGTATCTGGGCTAAGGCAGTGCAGCAGGTCCTGCACAATACTGGGAATTTAATTTCTGCTTGCTAAATAGGAAATGAAAATGAAAAATAACAAAACTCCTTGTTTTCTTTGTTTCAATCCCTTGTCTGCAGAGCTAGAAAAAAACCCTAACAGACAAGATGTTGAAAAATCAAGAATTGTAGCCTTAGATGTGTCACTAATGTACATTCCACAGCTAAGTACAAAACTCAGAACTAGCATTTGAAGGCTACCGATGATTCAATATGTGGCAGACTGACATAATATTGATTTAAATTAAGCCTAGAATTTTATAAAGAGAGACTATATCCATTACATTTAACTTTGTTGGGGTAGAAGAGTGGGAAGCTGCTGTATTTTGACTCCCCAGCCTTGTTACTTTGAACTATTATCAATTTAAGGCGTTGGGAATATTGCCTTTACTCTTAGCCTGCATTAAGAAAGAGGTATGGAAATCACAGTGAATGGAATTCTTAAGATTAGAAATGATGACAAGATATTAATAACCATATATTAAAGAAATTACTTGGAATGAGAACAAATAATTGTCTAGATAGAACAATAGCTATGTCATGCTTGGAGAAAAGATGGAACAATTCAGAGAACACACCACTAGCATAAATGGCATTTACTATAAATGATCACATTAGTGTTTAAAGTGCTACATTGTTGGCATCTTTTAGGTTTTCTGCTTTGAGAAACTTAAGAAGATGAAATATGCCACGTCCCCTCTGGTGATTGAAAAAAAAAAACGCTCCCATGTTTTGGCGGAATCTCTATTGTGAAGTTAGAAAGCCCCATAGTTAGGAAGGCAGGATGAACAAAAAGGTCTTGGTTTGCAAGTGAAGCGGCCTCATAAGCAGACATCAACCTGATTAAATCTTACCATTGTCTACAGAAATTCCAAGCACACTTGATATCTTTCTCACACTGAAAACACAGAAAAAGTCACTTTGTTATTGGCTTTTCCACATCCTCACAAATTGATTCACGGGCTTTATGTTTTCACAGCAGTTTAAGGTTTATCACACATTCAGAGCCAGAATGTCAGATGTGGACACTTGGTCAATTACATGCATGGGATCAGGAGGGCAAAAGGAATCCGTCCCAGATGTTCTCAGGAGTTGCAGGGAGAGAAACCAATGAGAAGTTGGCTATAGGCAATGAATCCAAATATTAAATTAAAAATATCAGAGAATGTTTGGCTATCAAATCTGTCAAATTTTGTTTTAAAAATAGCAAGCGGAGGGGTTGGGGCAAAGGGGTTAGCGCTCTTAGGTCTGGTGCCGTAGTTGACCACGTTCCACACTGTCATTCTCCTCCAAGGAAGGGAACTGCGCCATGAGCTCTTCATCCTACTTGCTTTGAGCTGGAAGAAAAGTCAAGTTGGTGATGTGGTATGGTGTGGCCTAGGGCTTTCCCCTCTGAGATGTCACATGAGATGGCTGGCTGTTACGATGGTATGTCATGGGACTTACTGTGGTTAAAAGTGAGAGAGTTATCCAGGCTGCCCAGCTGCTGCAATCTGGCATGCATCATTCCTGTTCTGTTACGGGAAACAGGCAATGTCTGAGATTTTCGATCATGAACTATGGGTCCCAACCCCTCCTGGTTCCTGCAACATGAGTGAAATGGGATAGAAGCAAAGTTAGACTTGTTACCCTGCAGCGAGACGGGGGGAGCGTTAGTGAGGCCAGGACACAGCACAAAGGAGACTGGCCACACGCGGACCAAGCGCAGTAGAGCCTGTTTGGGGCTGTATGAGCCAGAGACACAAACAGGTGGCAGCTCTTACAGAGTTCACAGCAAAGCACCTGACAACAAAGAAGCAAAAATCAAGCCAAAGCAGAGAACTTTTCAGCTTTAAAAAGTACTTTAGAGACACTACTTTTTAAAAAATTGAGCATCAGTCCAATGTGGTGCTAAAGGTTAGCATTCTGACAACTGCCAAACACCACAAATCTTTTCAGATTACATATGTTATTGAAGAGCAAAAATTTTTTTTAATTAGTCATGCTGCCACAAAACGATGTGTTTTGGTCAACAACGAACCACATATACAATGGCGGTCCCATAAAATTAGTACCAGGTAGCCTAAGAGTATAAGTACATCTATGTTTGTGTAAGTACACACTATTATGTTTGCACAATGATGAAATCACCTACTGATGCTCTTCTCAGAATGTATCCCTGTCATTAAGCGAGGCATGAATGTAAAATAATGCATTGGAAGAAACAGAGAACGAACACGCAAAGGGAGGGATTATATGAGGCAGTTTTAACACCTTCATTCTTACCCAGGCAGGAAGGAGAAGAGCCACACACTTTGTTAAACTTGTCAGCAGTCAAGTAAAGAAAATAGAAAAGTGATCTGGGTTAGCAATCAAACAGCTAACTTCCTACTGTGTACCATCACCAGAGCAGATGAAAAATGAGACCAGTGCTGGAATGACACCTGTCCCCATCCCATAGCCAACCGTCTCCCTCATGGTGTTATTGTGTGAAGTAGAACAGGGCATGCATGGAGTATCATTGGGCAGCATGCTGCTGGGTGATTTCGAAATGATACAATGAGAAGGCGCAGTATTCATAAAACTGGACCACCATGGATGGCAAACACTGACAACATTTAAATCATCGTTTGGGATCTTTTTCACATACAGCAGAGACCACGGCAATTTTCTATAAAACAGAGCACGTCTTTACACAGTGCACCTAACAAAGGAACACCATCCTCCGCTTCCTTCCTATGCCTATCTATTTTTAAGGTAGTCCAATGAAGCATACTTTTATATGCAAATATATACAGGATGCTTACGAAGTCAGAAGATTTTCTTTAAAAAAAATTAAATTTATAGCCATTGAAAAAAGAAGTTACCTATTTCACAAACTCAATTCTAAAATATTTTGCTGAGGTGGAAATCTTTGGCTTCACACATTCACCATGTTCAGCTCTGTGGCATTTTATTCTATTTTGCACAACATTTTTCAAATGCTATATTGTGATGAAGGCGATAGCTACCACAAGAAGGGTGTGAAGCTCGCCTGCACAGTGCCTTTCTGTTACAAATAATACTGTTTGCCCATCTTCATGGGGCAAAGTCAAGATGAGAAGTGTTACCGTATAAGAACACCTTGTATATACTTGCATTTGGTACTCAAAAACTCAAATGTAAAAATTACTCACGATAAAAAATAAAAGAATTAAGATTAGAAAACTTTAAGTGCCACCATATTTCAATTAAAAATAGAAAACATTAATAGGAGGAAAGCATAAAATATTCTCTCTAAATCTGCTCTTTTTAAAAGGAAATACAAACTTTTATTTAACATAAAACATAATTCTGAAAATTTCTCAAATACACCAAGAAAAGAACAATGTTAACATAAAAAGCGAAATCTTCATGCTCAAATAGGAAGTCTTTTCAAAATCTCTTCCCTATTTCATTGCTATAAAACGGAAGTATAAATGAAAAAAATCTCAACTACAACTAAGTTTTAAAGATTTTTAAAAACATAAATGTTTACTTATAATTAAACTGCTAAAAATAATAATAGAAAAATATGATACTTAGACCAAGACCCCATATATATATTATCACAGAATACACAACACAGAAAAAAACCAAACATGGACACCCTGAACGGCTACAGGCAGGAGTAAGAACTTTGCAATGACAAGACGTGCTCCGAGCAAACACCTCCACAGACGCAGCTGCCTGGGGGCACATCTGCAATGAGCATCTAGCTGTCCCCCAACTCGATGTGGAACTGAGAGCATGGGCTGGGACAGGGCAGTGAAGATTTATGATCCTCAACAAAGAGATCAGGTCAGACAAAAACATAGTGCATGGTCAGCTTATTCAGCATAAGAGGAGAAAAGGCTCAGTTTTAGAGATGGTTTTTGTGGAAGTCCACACAAATTTGAGATGAAGTGAAAACAGTCTTTCATTAAGAAAGAAGGAAAGTGGTTAGATGAGAAATTAGTATGTTTGTAGTTGGGAGGCAGAATGGTAAAAAATGACTTTTAAAAAGCAAAACGAGGGAAAAGAAATCATTGATTGAGGAAGGAGAATCAAGAGGAACAGGAGAGGAGACAGAAAAAACAGAGCATGAGCAAGAATTTGGAAGGAAGTATAGAAGTGCAGCAACAGGCCGTGAAGGAAAAATCTTTCCAAGAGATACGCATGTGACAGAACGGACAGAAGGAACGCAGGAATGTAGGCAAAAGATGCTCCCAGATTTTCTGGTAGCAATCCAAAGACCTGCCAACTGTCTTCCTGGTTGTTTATGAGAATTCAATTGCCAATCACCCAGACGACATTCCTACACATTTGGATCCAAGTAATACAGAAAGTAATACAGAAAATGATACAAGACTCCCAGCAGAAACCCCCACAGTACCTGGCTATATATCGCTTCCCCATGTACTGGAACTGGTGCAAGCAGACTCTGAAGACAGGATAAGAGATTGTCAGGGAAACAGGAAGATCAAATTATTTTCAATACATTGTTTTACTTAAATCCATCAACAATAACACATTCAACAAACTCTTTGGTCTACCACTAGCCCCTTACTTCTGGTTTTCAGAAATTCTCTGGAAGGTCCCTCTAAACCCAGAAAAAATTATAACCTTCAAGGGAGGTTCCATACCACACTGCCATCAGTGCTGTGGTGGGTGATGGAGCCACTCAGAAAGGCCCAAGATCAACAGGATCATCCATCAACTCAGGGTTTGGACATTTACTCCAGGCAGTTTGCCTGAGAAATTATGATGGAAATCGCATGTACTGTTCCAAGTCGCTTATTCATCCTCATTCAAATCTGTTATAAAGAGTTCTCTCTTTTGGCTCAAGTAAATGGACTGGTCCCTTACAGACATCAAGTGTGTAGTTGTTGTTTTGTTTTAATATAGTTACAACATTGCTTTTTTAAAAATATCATTTATTTAAAAATATCATTTATTTAATAAGAAGCAGTTAAAATAATGTCTAGTAAGTTCTGGTGCTGAATCCCGTCTCACTCATGACAACTCCCACCTTTAACTCAGCAGAGGAAGTGGTCATGAGACTATGAACCAAGACCATAATTCCAAAATGCATAAAGCTCTGAATACCAGAGGCATCCTACTGAGTTTGTGCAAACATATTCGGCAGCAAATCACAACCCCAACTAACTGACATAAAGCTACGTACTGCCATGATTTACCCAGTTATCGTGAACAACTGTAGTACTGCAGAAATAAATTTTTAATGCAGAAATAATAACGTGTTTGATTGTAGGGTGCTGCCTAAGATCCTGCAGGGGTGTTATGAAATATACTCTATATGTAATTTTTTCAAAAATCTAAAAATCTTGGATTTGGAAAATCATCTGGCCCCAGCAGTTTTGGGTAAGGGGTTGTGGATTCATGTTTCTAAAAGCAAAGAGCTTAAATGAAATCAGAAATTTAGACTGAAGAGATAGAATGAGATAATATGGGAGATTTCACTTTTACTTATCATATATTTTTAAATTATAGCAATTTTTCTGTCTCAGTTTCTGCATCTCCTTGAGTTAAGTTAGATTCAACTTAGAGATGTAGGATCTACCCAAATTTGGCTAATAAATTTTCTGCTATTTTATTAAAATGGCTTATATACATAAGCAGTTACCTCTCATCTATAACAACTACATTTGCAATACTTTAGGGCTGGTCGTGCCCACTGGGTCATGAGCTCCTGAGAGCAGGTGCTGGGGTCAGGTCCAGGAGAAAGAGCTTAAGAAGTTAAGTGTAGATGTGCATATGCTGCATTTCTGGTTCAACTACACAGTATTCTTCACAACTCTTCTTTAGCCAGGAAAAATCAAGAAGCAATGAGCAAAAACAAAATTACTCACTCAGATATTGTAAAAAAATCCATAAGTTCAGATGTTGAAGCCTTGTTCCAATACGTAAACAAAGCATCTGGAAAGTGAACATTTATTTGGTCAGAATCATGATGCATATTACATACATTATGAAATGGGAAGAAATTTCAGACTGTAGGCCTCTAAACCCTCCCCTACGGCCTATTATAGCTGATCAAAGGACAAACTATAGTGACCAATCTATACTAGATAACATATACAATGGGCTTATTCAATTTAAAGAAGCTACATTTGAAGACTTGACCTTGAATTTCATCATATATCATTTTGCACAATATAGTACATTTTTAACTTATACATAATGCACTCTTAAATGGACTAGAACATTCAAAGAATACAAGTAGGTATACAATCTAAAGTCAGGCTCTCTCTTTACCTACTACAGAATCCCTCTTGAGTAGGGAATCTGTTAAAAACTCCTGCATGTACGTAAGTACTCCCTTCCTAACACACACACACACACATGCTGAAATGGAAGCATGCATTCTACACACACCATTTTGCCCTTTGAGTTTATAATATGGCCTGGATCTATCTCAATCTTTTCCAAGCTGCATAATATTCGTCTCCATGTATACACTATAATTGAGTTAACCAGTCCCCTACTGATAGACATTTACTGTTTTCTCCCCCCTAATCTTTTGCTATTATAAATTATGCTTTGATGAACATCCTTATACTTGGGTCTTTGCAGACTCATCCAACTTCATCTATAGGACAAATTCTAAGAAGTGAAATAGCTGTGTCAAATGGTATATGCATTTAAATTTTTGAGAGATATTGCCAAACAGCCCTCCAAACAAGCAGTGTATGAGAATTCCTGTTTCTCAATGCCATGGTACAATGTACTCGTGATTAAGAACTCACACCTACTCTTCATCAAAAGCAACTGGGTATATTTTCAGTTAAGGCAAATTCTAAAATCCTAAAAATTCATTTACATGAAGCATTCTTCTCTGTGTATGCCTCTTAACCATTTAGCATTGCACAAAGAGTGCTATAACTTGATAAACATTTTTGCATTTTTATAATTTACACTGAGGTTGAGAGATTCTCTCAGTGAAAAAAACCACTGAGTTTTGGGGCATGAGATGAGTGAGAGGGTGGCTGCAGAGATGCTGGTGGCTTGTGAAGACGCGTGGCCATGGATTTCTACTCTATACTTAACAAGAACAGTGACAGGAAGGAGAAGCCGTGGGACATACACAGAGTATCTGTTCTGGGCCAGGCACTGTGGTCTCATGATTTCACATAAATCATGTCATTGAATCCTCACTATGATCTGAGGCAGAGAGTTCCCATTTGGAGATGAGCTAAAGCAGGCTTAGAGAAGTTAAGTAATTCTCCCAATTACCAGCCTAAAGAATCCGGGTGGAATGGGGATTTAAATCAAGTGCACCTGGGTTTGAAAGCCACGTTTGGCCTATTAGACCAGTAATGAGGGTGGGTCAGGGAGCTTCTATCTCTCAGGGGTTTTGAGTTTAGAATCCACGGGGGACAGACTCTGGTTACTTGAGGCTGGATGTTCTGGTGTGGTGAGAATCCAGGGAGCCAAATAAATGCTGGAGGGCTTCTCAGGGTCAACTTGCAGACTCCTGTGGCCACTCATAGCACACACCAGACAGAACTGGCCAGCCAGCAAAGTAGCACTAACATAGCGTTCTCTTGCTCTGTGCTCAGGTTATTAACTGAGGAGAGGGGAAGACAGAGCTAACCTCTAATGAAGGAGGTAGGAGGCATAAGAATGCACAGAAAGCCAGGGGGCCAGCATGTAGAAAGGTGCTCGTTAAATGTGGGATAAAGGAAAGTATTAGCTACAGAGTCACACAATTGGTTTTGGTCACCTGTCTAGTAAACTCTCTGAAGGCAATTTCTCCCCCACCCCACACACAAAAATCAATTCTAGGTAGATATTTAGATTTAAATGTGAAAATTTAAATGATACAGCTTTTAAAGAAAACATAGGAGGATATCTTCACCTGGGGGTAGGTGAAGATTTCTTAAAAGCAAGATACACAAAAAAATTCTAATCATAAAAGAAAAAATGTTGACAACTTGAAGGCAATTGAAAAAAAAAGATATTCTAAAACTGTTTTGAAGCGGTTGCTGCATTTTTAAATTGTGTGCATGGTCTTCCAAAGACTGACTTTAAAAGGGCAACCTTAACTTTAATGCAAAATTTCTGAAATATTTGACTTTAAAAAGCAGTTATGTTTTAGTTGTATATCATATTTAATATTTGAAACAAAAGATTTTAAAGAAAATTTTCAACAAAAGAAAAACAGGATTACAATGCTGGCTAAAACTCACTACATGATGTAAAGTGTAGAACTTCTGACTTAATGAGAAGAAGTTTAACTTTATAACCTAAACGTCAGAATAAGTGCCAGTGCTTTCATATTTGGTCATCATTCAAGGAAACTCCTATTTGTTTGTTCTTTTTTCAAACAGTTATTTTAAAGTAAAAAATTGCTAGAAGAATAAAACAACCCAGTCCCAAACTATTTTAAGGACAGGCATGCTGTCCTTAAAAATGTTCCCAACATCTGAGTTTCAGGTCAGCTCGCTAACGCTGCTCGATAGAAAAGAAATACTATTCACAGGCAGAAATACCTTCCACTGAATGTTTATCGCCCACACCTACTGCCACCAGACAGGTCTTCAGGTTCTCAAAAAGTGGCATTTTGTTTTCAAAAGAGTTCATCTTCACTCAACAACCTTAATGAAGCTCACAGTACACTTTCTAATTTCTTGCAGGGAAAATAAGAAGATTTTGACCAAGATAAGAAATGTGACATTGTAGCATGGCACAATTTCATGTGATTGGTTATATCACACAATCAGAGCTGAGAGTGTCCTGTCATGGATGTTTACAAGCTTTATGTGGTTCAGATAAAGCATTAATGGATGTGGTCATTTCTATTAAAAAATGTAGTTGTCAGGGCTAGCCCAGTGGCGTAGCAGTTAAGTTCACGTGCTCTGCTTTGGCGGCCTGGGGTTCGCGGGTTTGGATCCCAGGCACAGAAATATGCACCGCTTATCAACCCATGCTGTGGCAGGCATCCCACATATCAGTAGGAGAGGATGGACATGGATGATAGCTCAGGGCCAGTCTTCCTCAGCAAAAAAGAGGAGAATTGGTGGTAGATGTTAGTTCAGGGCTAATCTTCCTCAAAAAAAAAAAAAAAAGAAAAATGTGGTTGTCAAACCCTTAATCAGAAACTTAATCACTATAATACCACTATTTCCATTAGAAAACTAAAATAACACACCTTGCTTCCAGTGAAATCTGGGAATGTCTCACATACTTTGAATGGAAGGCACACTCAAGTCTCCCAACACTATATTTTCTAATTCAAGAGACTGACCAGTAAAGTTATGCAAGCTGCCAGTAAGTTTGTTTGGACCAATGAAATAAAAAAAATTAAAAGCTACTTCACTTACCTGCTTCTGTCTCTTTTAGTTAAGATGGTAGGTATGAGTTTAATATAAATTTTAAAAATAGGTCCAGTCACATTTTAGAACTCATTTTCTAAAATATATAATTTATAAAAATATTGTTCCAAATTAAGGCTTTTATTTCTACTACATTTAGAACCAGGCATTTCAAACAAGGAAGAAAATCCTTTCAAATCCTTATATCCTTTCAACCAATTACAATTAAAAAAAAAAAAAAACCAAAGGGAAGAAGAAAAAGAAAACAAACAAAAAATAAACCAAATACCAAAATAAGGAAAGTAAAACAGAAATCTTCATTTTTACCTACCATCAGACATGCTTTTTAAGATGTAGAGGAAACACATCAGCAGGCTCTTAATCTCAGACTGGTCAAGTTTGTCACAGCGAACCACAGAATTTCCCAAAGTGCCACTTTGTTGGTGCTAAAAAAGTAAATACAGGTAGTTTTTCTCTTTCATTACAGGTAAAACAAAACTGGTTTCACTCTTCTCTCTTGGAAGAGACAGATTCTTAGAATTGAGTCAAATCATACAAATTGGAAGGTATAAATAATTTGTTGACAAACTACAGGCACACCTCTACTGAGTATGCAGAAGTGCTGTTCCATAGAAGCTCTGGCTTGTCTCCTTTGCATACTTTCTTCCTAAGAGACAAGCCAGAGGCAGAAACCTTTCAAACTGGGTAACCGTAGTTTTAGTTACCAGCTTGGTTCTGAAATGTGAAGTAAAACCTCATGCAAAAAAGTATGTGCGCTAGGATCAAACACAGAAATGATTCAAAAGATACTGAAGAACTAACCATATCCTCAGGAAAATGTCAGTGGCTGAAACAGCAAATTAAGTCTATGGTGCTGCTGAGTACCAGCCACAAAAGCCTGGAGCTGAGTCACTGTCATTCAGTTGACATCGTGGGGTACCACTGGGAGAAAACAATGGGCAGGTGCCCGACAGGGACAAATAGGGACACCTCAGCACAGCATTGCCAAAGACCCTAAACTGATGAGGTCATTCCGTCATCAGCTTAGATCAACGTCACAAACGTGAGAAAGCTCAGGGCGCAGGGTGAGGGCAGTTTTGCCACTAGACAGAAGGTTCACGTGTTCAAAGGGTTCACATAAAAAAAAAGGAACCAGAATCTCATCTTGTGATAAAAGCACAGGAGATTTAAAAATCCTTAAAGTTACACTGCCAATCAAAATCAGAAAAATTTTTGCCAAATACCAAAGAAGAAAGATCAGTGAAAAAATATCTTTCATTTAAGGTACTGGTGGACAATTTAAAAAGTATATATAATAATCAGGCTTAATTAATAACACAAGAATATTTTCATTTAAGGAAGAAATACAGGTCCAATTAGTGGCAAAACTGTAGTGCAGATGCATCCTCTTGCCCACCCACTTCATCAGAGCCGCTAGGAGAATTCAGTATTTCTTGCAGTGGGAGGGAAGGTGCAGCATGCAAAGTTTCCTCTGGCAAAGGCAGAATTGTTAGAAGGGAAAAATCCACAGTGACCCGGTTTTTCCTGGCTGACTGGCAGCTCTCTTCCTCCTCTGCAGCACTGCGTATGACACAAGCAGAGTGCCTTCTGAGCAGCTTCTCCCTCTACACACGAAGGCATGTCGGGGTCAAGGGAAAAGTTCAACAGGTCATGACACACACCTGCACTGAGATGCTTTGCGCCTCGACAGAACTGCAGTTAAGGCTAATCATGTCAATTCCAGCCATGGAAATGAGTGATGAGAATACAAACCTGAGGCTGAGGAAGGAGGTTTTCCACGTTTCTGAGAACCAGGAATACGTCCCTAAGTGCTTCACCTGTTTATTGATACATGTGCTTGCCTATAACTTGAAATAAACTAGGACAACAGTGGCTAAGGTGAGACCTTGACCTAGAACCTATTATGGTTCCAGGTTTAAATCCAAGCTTTCTCCATTCCTACAAAGTTCCCAATAGTCTGAGCCTTACTTATTTCAAGAAAAAAGAGTAAATATGAGGAGGGTGTGTTGGCTTGGGTTGGGGGGTACAGTGTGAGTGGAGTGATTTCAAATAGAGCCTTATCCCTAAATCAACTATATGATCAATTAATCTCTTCTGGAGCTGGCTCTGGACCCAATGTCCATCTGGATGGATAACCGGGTTATAAATGGTATTCTCTGGAATACAGACCATAGGGATTCTAAGTGAGTGGCATTTTGATTTCCTACCCGCTCAAGGTGCTCCACTGTAAACACTACCCTGATCTGAGATCCTGGAAACAGGAATCAGGGGTTTCAGAGAATGGACTCCAACCGTAGTTAATACTCTGATCATCCACCCCAGGTTAACTGAGTTGCGTGTTTTGGTGGTTTGTTTTTTGTGTTTTTTTTGGTGAGGAAGATTGTGCCTGAGCTAACATCTGGCCAATCTTCCTCTACTTTGCATATGGGACGCTGCCACAGCATGCCTTGATGAGCAGTGTGGGTCTGCACTCGGGATCTGAACCTGAAAACCCTGGGCTGCCAGAGAAGAGTGCATGAACCCAACAACTAAGCAACTGGGTTGGCCCCCTGAGTTGTTTTTTTTAAAAAAGGTCACACTTAATGAACACTAGAACACGAAGCATGTTTACTTTGGGCTAAATCTATTAGTTACAATGAACTTATGTTCCATGAAAATAAATTACCTTATCCAGGGAATTGCTTTTCTCATTATTCCTTTCTGGAAGGCTGTTTCCCGAATCTGTGCTTATGAGGGATCCTCTTGAATCAGCATTTCTCACACTGTTGATGTTTGGAGTTGAAGTCGTATATGGAGAAGCTAAGCCAAGACCAAAGATTTGGTGAGACAGAACTAAAAAGATAAGCACCGAAATTTAAGGGAAACTGCTTTTGTGGAATTTACTTTTTCTGTTAGGAAGCTGGCTCAAGAGCTGCCTTCATTTACCTCACCTTTAAAGAACCAGGCCCCATAGACTGAGATAAAAATGAATTTTAATCTGAAACATTCAGATGTAACTATCAGTCAATCTAAGAGAAACCACTTCTGATTGCTAAGACTAAAGAGCACAGAGTGTTTCAGAACAGGAGAGAAGGAAGACTTTAAAAAATTAAAAAGATAAATCCACCTACAACTATCAAATGAAAAAATTAAACAGTACAATAAACCTCCAGTATTCAAACTGGACAGTGAGGTGCCCTAGAAAACTCAGAGGGGTGTTAATGAGATATTTTAAACTTTTGAGAGAAACACCATAATACTCGACTGCTAGAAACTGCAGTTTCAATGTTAGCTTATGCTACATTCCTTTCGATGATGTCATGTCTTTGTGAAGCTGGGTATTTGGTAGTTGCTATGATAAAAAGCAAATACTGGGTGAAAATCAATGTGGAACAGGAAATGAGGATGGCAGGGAGCAACCCAGCTCCAAATGTGAGAAGTTGGGTAGTGCCCAACAGGCAGACACATCCCATTAGTAATAGCTGTGGTTATTAAAAATAAAACAAAAGTTCCTTCTCTAAATTTATGTTTATTTTTTCAAATGCCTACTAAGTTGTTATGATACAAGTACTTATTAAGTTATTTGGCCTAATAAACAGAACTGTTACGTGTTTCCTTTGGCCTGGGACTCCATGAAAATGATAATAAGGGTGCTATGAACTGAGAATGCTTGGGATTCTCTGCAATAAACAGTTATGAGCAGAAAGGAAATCTAACTTGGAACTAAAATTTGTCATATCCGTGCAAAAGCAGCATTTGGAGGCAGAAATCAGCCCCCACTTCGGTTCTATGGAATTTTTAAAAGTAATAGACTGACTTCCTGCTTAGACAAGATTTAATCCTGCTTAGATAAGATCTCAGACTTGTAAATTCTGTGCTGAACCAAAAGGTGTGTGCTCCCCTGAAAGCCCTGGCTGGTTGTGCACACTGCATGAGGAGCACTGTGCTCCAGCATGCTGTAAGCACAGCCTTTCACACCTAAGCTGGAGATGCCGTTACCCGGCACCTCAGAACAGGCTGGCCATTTTTGGATTTCAGGATGCAAATGAGCTGCCATGGACCAAGACAACCTAACACTCAGGGTTATCCACCACCATCCCTCAATCTGATTCAGCGTATTATAATCAAGAAAAGAAGAGGCAGGGGAATTTGAAAATGTAAGTGAAGGCTGGAACATGTAAACCATTGGCCACAGGGTGCACCTCCCCAGAACAGAAACCGTATGACTGATTATCATAAGGTGCAGGTAAAAACCCTATGAAAAAACTATGAACCTTTTTCTATACTCAGAGATAAAAGAAATACACATTATGACCAAAATTATAATTATATTCCTCCTAGTATACCTGGACTTCTGATTCAATGTAGCACACAGAGATCAAGAGAAAGAGGTTCTCAGTAAAGCAAAATTAGACCCTAAATTCTCAGAGTTTTAGGCACAATTCCAGAACTAGAATCCTAATCTAAGGCAAGCAGATGGAAATGCAATAAATCAAAATCAGTATGCTTAGTAGAACTATGTTGAAGTTTTGTGTGTGTGTTTGTGTGTATAATTAGTGTCCTGGCCCAGTGCATAAATTTTAAAAATCTTAAACAACACATAAGTAAAATGAAAAGAAGTTTAGTTCACCTCTCTCCTCTTTGTACAGTCAGCCCAATACAAAACACTGAGTAGGCGGGAAAAGGCGCCCTGAACCTAAGAACGCGTGCCTTTTCAAATGAATGTAATCTCAGAGTAGTTTTTATCCAGGCAATGAATCAGTTTTAGATATTTTCATGCACCATGTTCCAAAGACATTAAAAAAAAAACTGCTGAGGGCGCATTCTCAATATGCATGGAAACAAGATTTCTTCTAAATAGAGATGTAAGGAGAAAGTCTGCTCTTGAGGGATAAGCACTGGGAGTAAAATTAACTGGAAACGCCTTGATAAATAGAAGTTGCTAAAGCTACTGGAAAATAACTAGTAAACACAGTTCAAAGGTAGGGGCTTTTCTGGGAGGCATTTCTAAAAGAACAAGGATTTAAGTCTTTAAAGATGAGAGAAATACAGATAAAGCCTGAGTATAAACAACTCTGTTGTGGTGAAATCCTATGAAAAGTGGATTCAGATCTTGAAATTCAAGAAAGAGTGAAAGGACTAACTCAGTCTCAAGTACTCTTTATGACTTTGCCATAGAGTAATCTAAGGTCATTTACGCGATTTGAGGTGTGCCAAAGATACCCAATGGCTCATCTTTACGTCTCAAGACATCCCAAACCCTAACAAGGTGAATGTGGAATTGGAGAATAAAGTCTGAGTCGAAACATCACCTCATTCTAGTTTGATCATTTCCATCAAGTCCTGAATCCTATAGAGATTTCAATGCATTCCTCGGGCCCCAGGACTCATCTAATTGGCTACTGAGAGTATATTACAAAGCATTAATAATGCTACAGAATTGTGCTTGTTGTAACGGCAGTCAAATAATAACGCTGAGTGTTTACTATGCCAAGCACTGCACATGTCATATGAGCTCTTCATCCCTCACCAGGACTCTGTTTTGGAGATGTGGACACAGGGTGAAGAGGAAAGACACCTGCCCATGGCAATTAGAAAATGGTGGAGTCCAGATCCAAAGCCACAACTGTCTGACTTTAAAGCCAGTGCTGTGAACCGCTGCAGACAAAACCCTCCAAAAACAGACCCTTCCCCACTCCCAGAGCAGCGGCTGGGTGTGTGGGTAGCGCAGGGCAAAGAAGACAGAGTGAAGGTCCCAGGAGAAAAGCAATGGGAACACCATGGCCAGGCTATGCTCTGAGCATTTTGCATGAATTAACTTATTTAATCTGATTCATGACATCTAATGCGGTAAGTATTAACTATGAAAAATATACAGAAACATAAGTAACATTAAGGATTGGTATGGGTATTGTAGGAAAAATACGGGCATTGGTGTGGGGTTTCCAATTTTATACTCTGCCCAGTTCCATCACCCACACGAAATAGTGTGTTAACAACAACAACAACAACAACAACAACAACAACACAAAAGGCAAGGACATAAACTCAGAATGAACACCAGTCTTACAAATTAATTAGATAAAAGGACTGCCCTTTGGTCTGCCCTATGACTTAGTTTCATTATTTGGAGGTCTAAGCACTAGCCATAGCAGGACGCTTTGTTTATTCAAAGTATGGTAAAGAGAGGGAGAGAAATAAAGACAGAATATGCCTGTGAGTATCTGTAACAACTCTGTGAAGATACGCATTTTTTGTACCATTATCTTTACAAAGGAGCTGGTTGCACAGGTGCTCAATTAGTCAGAATATTAATAAGTACATTTCTCAGGCATTTACTTATAGAGAAACTACTAAATTTTAATCTTGATTTATGCCATCTGTTTTCTTCCTCATGGGGGCTGCTCTTACATTATTTCAGACAGAAAAAATATTCTAGGAAAGAAGATTTTAGAAAACCGATTTTAGGATTACATTCTAGCCATAAACCACTATCTCCTCAGAAATTACTCTGTCACATTTCATCTAAACTGCTATCACTATGAATAAATCCTATCCACTCCACACACACCCCTACAAAGATATTCCTTTTCTACAGTATAAACAATCCAATTTGAAGACTTAAAATGATAAATTAACTTAAGCATTAACAAAAAGCAAACTACAAATATGCGATTAAATGTACCATATTTGGAATTCATGAGAATTTTGGGATCCTTATTTTAGTGCAGAGTTGAGGTGTTTTAGGTGCTAAGTATCAAAACCAGGAAAAGAATATTCACAGCAGAAACTCAGGCTTCAACGTCTTAATAGAAAAGTTTGAGATGCTAACAAGCTATTGGATTAAAGACACTTTCAAAATTAAACTAGAGAGAAGCAAATGCAAGCAGCGAGCATTACCAATGCCAGAGATAGCACCAAAGAGGTCTTTGTGCAGGTTGTTATCCAGCGTGTTTCCAGACTTCTGTGGTGTCACTAACGGGTTTACAGCTGGCAAAGTAAGTGATTCCTCCTTCACAGTCTGTCAAAGGGGAGAAAGAGAAGAAATAATTGAAGATGATTTTAAAAGAGTTATCAACTGTTCTTGTAAGTGTGAGGGCAAGTGTTAGAACAAGATGGAACAGCCTGACAAGTTAAATGTGCCTGAGTGGGAGAAGCAGTGGCACGGCGTGTGAGAGGGAGGAGGGTGGTGGATGGATCAGAGAAGGAGCAAGGAGAAGGGAGCAGAGAATATTTCAAGTCTGGGAGGCAGAGAAATCTTGGTCCATACAGTCATCATTTCTGGTTCCCCAGAAGGTCTAGTACTTTCTGTTTCCAGAGCTCTGACGCCCAACATTTCTTTACATTATTTCAGTATGTTTTTGCTTTCAGAAAAAGTCTCACATGCTCTTTCTCACTGGAACACTGGTTTTTCTCTCAAATTGGAAATCCTTCCAAATGAGCAACAGTGACTTACAATAGAAGCAATGAAAATCTCTGCAAGTTTGGAGCTTTTTGTGAAATCTCGATCAGTGGAGAAATTATGTTAATTTTGAAGTTACATCGTAACAGGGATTTCACTGTGGTGAAAGCCAGAGAAAAGAACTTGTGTTTATTTTTCTTAGGATTGAAGCAGTACAGAGAGGTAGCTTTATGCCCTGAATTACTTATTCTGATTAGAAAAGGCAGGTTCAGAGAACACATTGTGAAATATAATGTTGTATAGAGTGAGATTAATGTGGTACATTTCAGCTAAGGACAGTGGAATTTTACGCCCCTTGGACCCACAAAAACATCCTATAAACTTGGTTCATCTCAGTGTACCATTATTTAGGAGACATATTCAGAGGTGGAAAAAGAGTATAAAAAATGAGACAAAGCATCACTGTTGGGAGAAAAGAGACAGAAACATGTATGGAAACTACTCAAGTGTATGCCACAATGACAAAGTGGCAAAGCTAACAACTGAGCCAGTTACAGGTCCTGAATAAAAGGGAAAAGAAAATTGTTCACCTGGTAAGATCTGTCCAAATTAACGGCAGATAGTCTCCAACTAAAAAGTTGAGATTATTTCTGGGATCATCCTTCAGTCGACTTAATTTCCAATACATCTTTAATGACTGCACAAAGCTAATGTAAACTAAGGTGTCAGTTCTTGGAGGGAGGACCTTGTGTCACTCACTTTGACCTCCCTGACATCCAGCCTGACTTTCTAATTTTACAGACACAGAGAAACTTTAGCCCAAAGAGGTGGCTTTTCCAAGACTGTGTAGCATGATACTATCATAACTGGGGCTAGCACTGAGCTCTCATAGCACACCGGTTAGAACTATGCTTTTCTTTTTTTAACCTCCTTTCTCCATAAATTTTGTTGAATACACACAGAAGATCCTGATGTCTTATGAGATATGAGCCATCAGGAAAGCATGGTTTTTATAATGATTTTTAACAAGAGTTGAAGGTTTACTGATTGACTCCACCTTAGCCAGAAATGCAATTTACCAAGAATACTGTGGATTATTACAGTTTTAGTGGTAAACAAAAGAATAAATATGCCCTGGGTTAACAGTGTCCCCTCAAGTTCATATCTACTCAGAACCTCAGAATGTGGCCTTATTTGGAAATAGGGTCTTTGCAGACCTAATTAAGATGTAAGGTAAAAATGAAGTCATCCTGGATTAGGGTCGGCCCTAAATCTGATTAGTGGGGTTCTTATAAGAAAAGGAGAAGACATCAGAGACACAGACACACACCAGGCAGGAGGCCATGTGAAGACGGGGGCTGAGACTGGAATGATGTAGTCACAAGCCAAAGAACACAAGGATCTTGGGCAACCAACAAAAGCCAGGAGAGAAGCATGGAATGCACTCTTCACCCAGAGCCTCTAGAAGGAACCAACCCTGCTGATACCTTGATTTTGGACTTCTGGGCTCCTGACTGTGAAAGAATAAATTTCTGTTGTTTTTGGCCACCCAGTTTGTGTTAGTTCATTATGGCATACACAGGAAGCGAATACAGGCTGTGTCTACGTGAATATGCTTACGTACACTGCCAGGGTTCACAGGGAAGGGTGACACATCCCTCACATTGATCCGCTGGACATTTTCAATCAGCAGACCAAACAGAGGCAGGTAGAGAGTGGCTATCCTTGCTTGATGGCTCTGAAACAAAGGCACACAATTTAAGTTTTTCCTGTGGCTCTGAGAAGCTAATGATGGACTGAGCTGGCACTGGCAATCTCCTGTATTTGGATCCTTCCTATAAAGACTGCTGTTAGATTGTATTGCATAAACCGAGAATAGTCTTAGTGCTGTTACCACTAATTTTCTAATTGGTTATTTTCTTTATATTACTAAAAATAAAGAACCCATCAATCTGTATTTCCTTCCACTGGGACCACTCACCCTTGAAGCATATCTGTCATCAAAAGAATGCTTTATCAGCAGGTTCTTGAGCACGCTGATGGCAATCAGCCGGACCTCCCTAAACTCCTGGAGGGCGGTGCCCACTTCCCTCAGTAAGAGTCCCACCAAGAAGTGGTTTCTGCAGAACTCATCTGTTAATGAGTAGTCAAGCTGGAGATCTGGAATGAGGACAGAAACTACTTTAGTTAGAGAAGATATAACACACTTTGAATAAAATAAAAACCAAACCCACCCTTTGTATCTAGCCCATGGTGTGTGTCAATAGATGATTAGAGTTGGCTTTAAATGGGAAAAGGCCAATTATCTAAAATACTGCTTTACTTCTTAACACATCAAACTCTTCTATGAAAACAAAATTTAAATACAAATAATTGTACTGGATTTTGATTTTGGAAGCTATTAAATCCTGCATAATTATTAAGTTAGTGAATAGTTTGAGTACCAATTTTTAGAATACAGAACAACATATGTTACATTACAAATGTAACTTCGTTATTGACATGAAGTTAAAACATAAAGTTATTGTACTAATTGACAATATTATACAGAAGCAATTTGTACATAACAAACAAGTAATTAAAGAAAGAATAAATATACATGGTCTATTAAAATGTTCTTTACTACATGAGTTCATTTATCCATTTTCTGGTTGCTAATGCCTATATACTCCCATTAAAACCCAATGTGTTTAAAATAAACTAGTTAGCATATAACCTATTTATTCTGCCATCACTGAATGAAGAAATTATTTAATGCAGAATTTAAAAAAATATACTCATTACTTCTGCACCTCTAAAAGCAAATTAAAAAACTAATATAAACTAAAACTAAAATGGACCAAAATAGTAAATCATCAGCAAGCTTAATGACAAAACTAAAAGCTCTTCTGGAAAAGAAACGGAGGCAGACATGAAATCTACTGAGGGAGGGTAAATAAAAGCAGCTGAGCATTACTAAAGCTGAAACACAACTTTTCAGCAAGCTGTAACTAGGATTTGAATTCTTATACTGAGTCCATTATTAAAAGAATATCTATAGACCCTTCTTTGACTTTAATTCCACATCAGACAGTTACTTCTGCAGCTATCCAAAATACTAACCTAAGTCCTATAAAACCCTTTAACAGAAGCAAGAGAAAGAGTATTCATCTTTCCAGAATAATCATGTCCACTGTTTGTGACTTTTAAGGACAGTTTATCCAAATGACAGTTTACAGCTTGAATTCACATAAACTCCTTAGAAGGAAACTATTTATGGGGTTAACTGTGCATGTGCAAGTGCATGTGTGTGCATGTGTGCAGAGAGAAGGGGCGGAGCAGGTGAGAAGGGAGAGAGGAAGGCAAATGCTAAAAAATATTTATCCCTCTCAGTGTTGTAAGGCAAATTATCTGTAGATGACCCATGCCCACCTGCCTAGAGCAGCCCCTCTTGTCACCAGACACCCTGATGGTCTGCTAGCAGCTTGTGCCGGTCAGCTGGGCACCCTGAAGGATTTCCACTTCACACAGTTCTGCAGGATGAACAATTTGGCCCTGCCAGGTCACAGGGGAAGGCGGGCCTTAGCACATGTTCACTGCCCAACCAGTGGGTATAAAAAGCTGCCCTCAGCACCCTGACAGGGGAAAGGAAGAGAGTGTCACAGTTCCCAAGTACAAGTGGGCTAGTAACTGGCTGTGAGGTGAGGGAGGAGGTGACAAGGTTTGGAGTACAGAGTGGGGAGCAACTGGAGTACTGGGAGAGGGCAGGGAGGAGACCTGACAGGCCCCACAGAGGAGGTGCTGAGTGACTGGTCAGGGAGGAAGATGAGGATTCCCCCAGGGAGGTGGTTATTTGAAGCTGAGGGTGTCAGGGGTGGGCATGCCATGTTTGAGGAGCTGGGAGTAAGCAGGCATGTCTGAAATGTGGGAATAGTGGGGAGTGAGAGCAGACAGGTGGGCTGGGGTTGGATTGAGGATGCTGAATGCTCAGCTGTTCCCTCGGCCCAGAATGCTTAACCCCTCGCTTTCTTCAGATTATCACCCAAAGTCACCTTCTCAGTGAGGCTTTCCCTGCCACTCTATCTCAAAATGCCACCCCTTCTCATATCTCCTTTCCTTGCTTTATTTTTTTCTCCTTAGCACTCATCACTCTCTGACATTCTACATATTTCACGTAGGTAGAACAGCCGGGGATTTTCATCCTTGTTGTCCGACTGTATCCTAAGGCTGGGCACAGTTGGTGCTATGTAAATATTTACTGAATGCTTGAATACCAACTCCAGGGCCACAGTCCCCCTTCTTGCTCCTTAAAAGGCAGTCCAAGTTTGTTCTGGGGGAAGATACTTATGTCTCCGAATGAATGTTTTTGTGTGTTTCTCTCCAAATTTCAGAGTCAGTTGATTTAGGTGTCATTAATAGTTTGGTGGCATCCTTCCACTTTTTCTCTCCTTAAGTATAAATAATCCTGAGCACACACAAGGTACTAAACTCAATAAATATTACCTGACAGCCCTGATAGACTAATTTGATTCATTTGACTTACTCAGTGAAAACAAAGAAATCTCTATGAGCTTAAGTCTCTTCAAACTTAAAGAGGATACAGAGCAGTTAATAAAGACTCAACATGCAAACATAAAAAGCACGTAAAAAGCCATGTTGCTTGCCATCTAGGTTACTGCCACCACTACAGACAGTGCTATGAAAATGGTGGAATAACACATTTTTGGAGTGAGCAGAGTTTTTTGTTTGTTTTACTTCTTAGAGAAATAGCCTAGAGGACTAGTGACCCAAGGAGCAAAAACCAAGGTGCCTCCCGGGACGTTACAGCAATGTCTTAGCTACAGTGAGAACACATTCACTGGTTTATCAGGAGTTTAAAAATGATCCAAGTTTATGGGAAATGCCTAAGTGAACAGCATATGTAAGCATTTCAGCAATCACTTGCATTCTTTTTCTTTTAAAGGAGGAAAATGCAAGAAAGCAAGCGTCACACCCCAAACCTACCTACAGGAGTGTCATTTGACTCCACAGTTGGTGAAAGAAAAGCTAATTCATGAGAAAAAAGGAAAAGCAAAACAAATAAAAATAAACTACAGTAAGTAAAATGAATTTCTATTGTTTAAGCAAAGGAATTTTTCAATGAAAAAGTCACACTGACAGGATCTATAGTCTGGTAAGTTTGCTGAAAACTAAGTTCTCATATAACATTTTATTAATATTTTTTAAAATGGAAATTTAACAAGAAAAAAATTAATTCATCAATGAAAAAAATTGGAAAATTCTAACGTCATGTTTGAATCAATTCTCCTTTCTTATCAAAAATAAACGGCTTTCTTTGTGAAAAGACTAAGATTAATATACATAAAGATTACCTTGGTATCTTTGAATCCTGCCTTTTCCAAAAGGCATTGGTAAATTCAAAGGAATATAATGTTCGTGATTGCACACTACGCGGAGAAATTCAAACTTGTATTCAAAGAGAGTCTGCAGGAAAAAACATTTAGTCATAAGTTAAATACCTCACTGGATACTTTATACAGCATCCTAAAAAGACCTATGGGAAATAATACACCCATTCTTTAGCTTGTTGACTGTCTTGGAACTGCATGCTCTATGCTATTTTACAGATTTTAGATAGGCTGTAGGGATTTGTTTGAAAATGGAGAACACATTTCATTAAACAATGTCCTCCACTGGCTTTCAGGGCATTTATTATTTATGCTCCTCCTACTTCAATAGAGGATTTCAGGCAGCTTATTATTATAGACAAAGACTCAATACAATAAAAAAATGAGTAAGGCAGAGCTTTAAAAAAGACACACAAGAGAAGAGACAGAGAAAGGCTACGTGGGTACTTCTGTTACCTTGTTAAATAAACTCTGATTCATGACACATATACTTGTAGTTTTGCAGTTGAGAAGTCATTTCAGGTGTTGACAAGAAAATCAACAGGTATGTTTATTTCACATTTGGAATTATTGTGTCCCTAACATCTCACGTGTTAATGGAAGTAAGTACTACTTAGTACTAGTTAGGATTTCCAAGAGAGGGAGTGAGTAGTGCCTCACGGGCTGAAAGAAAATTCTGACGTGAATCGAGAGAAATAAGTGGGTATCCAATGTGAATCTGCGAGACAAAAGGAACAGTGTGTAACACACACACTACCTTCGGATCTCCCGGAGCAAAGCAGCTGATGTAGTTGTTGATCTGCTTAAAGACGAAGCCCCTGTCCATGAAGGTGAAACATCTCTGCAGAGGAAACAATCCATAAAGGTACACAGTTAGGCCCGAACTTTTTTTGGAAAGTTGAGTTCAAATAGCACTTATTGTCAATAAGTTTAACCATTAGCATAAAAACATCCATCGACATTAACTGAGCACCTACTATATACTGGTCACTCTACCAGAAGAACATTTTAGTCACTTAGAGGTCCCCACCTTGATGAACATGGCAAGGCTATGATTCGCATTCTTAGACGCTTCTGGGTTATCTCGAAACTTCTGAGTGATGTGAGGCATCAGCATATTCACAACAGTTTCCACTGCATGATGATAGGATGCAGGAAATCTCTGGTTTCGCAATAACTAAAAAGAATTGAAAGCAAACATTATTTTTGAAGTCACAATCTCTTGGGGAAAAATATCTCATCCCTGAGTCCATTTAAAAACCCAGATCCTAATCTTATTTATCTGAAATGAGATACGATGAATTCTTCTTTCCTCTCTCAAACTCTTGTACAAGTATTCTAATACTTCGAATAAGTGCTGTGGATGAGATCTCAAACTTCAGTGCAATAAAGAGCACCTTGGAGATGTCTGTAAAAGTGTGCAGACGTGCCTCGAACCCCAGATTCTGATGCAGTGCTGCATTTCCACCAACTACTTTTGGTGATTCTAATGCCTGCACCTCTCAAAGATCTCTTTAGAAAATACTGGCTTAGGTTTAAGCTTCAAGTATTCAAACAGAAAATACCCACATTAGTGATTGTATGTCACCAGTTGAAACTGCTTAGAAGCAATCTTCTTCAAAATAACTTAATAATTTTTCCCCTCAAGACTACTTACCTAAGAAATTACACTCAGACCACTTAGCAATTAGCTACCACTTACTGTATGTCTTCCACACATCAGCCTGCACTAGATATTTTTACATACGTTTTCACTAAATTCTTTTACCCTTACAAGTTTAATCCTCATTTACGGAGGGTCAGAGAGGTCAGGTAAATGCGACCTCAGTCACACAACTAACAAAGATTCAAACTCAGATCCACCATGAGTCCAAGGCCTGTGATCTTCCTGCTGTGATACAGTGCTGCCCGCCCCCCATAAATGGAAGAATTTACTGAGGGCCTGAAATGTGAAAGGGACTGAATTAGATGCTCCACAATATTTATCTATTCACGCATGTGATTCTAACAGCCACAACAGGGGGTAATTTTCATCCCCTGTTTTACAGATGAGGAAACTGAAGCTTGGAGAGATTCAGTAACAAGTAATAAATGACCTTTAATACCTCTCCTTTCCTTCCTTTTAGTGGCAGAACTTTTGGGTTTAACAGAGGTACTTGGCTGCCCAGCTGGAGACTACATTTCCCTGCCTAACTTGCAGCTAGATAAGGGTCATGTGACTGAGTTCTGGCAAATCAGCTGTAATAAGAAGAGACACATGCTTCTTCCAGCCATGCCCATAAAAGGAACTGCCTGCTTTCCTAGTTCTCCTCTTAACTACCACCGATGCCAGCTTCTCAATCATCTGAATGAAGGTGACACCTGGGCTGGATAATTGGCTAGAAGGAGCTTGAGTCCCTGAATGACCTTGGGGGACAACCTTCTCCACTCTCTGAGCTGCCTCCTGGTCACAATTTTCCAAAAGAGAGAAATGAACCTTCTATCTTATTTAAGCCATTATTTGGCCTGTTTGGGAGTGCCAAACCAGTATCCCAATATAAAACAAATGGTATTTTGTGAAACTGGAACTGAAATCTAGGTATTTCTGACATGAAAGCATGTATTATTTTAAGCATTTTTTTGTGAAATTTTGAAATACTAGCTTTATAATAATCTAAATTCTCAAACCAGTAACAAGACAATCTTTGTAAACTCATATAAACTAAAGAATCCACTGAGGCAAGGATCAAGTAATAAAAATTTGAACTTTACCTACTTTCAATAACAGAACAGTAAATTTTGAAATTCCAAAGGCATATTGTTCCATATGTTCAGCCAATAACTCTATATATCCTGAGCTATCAGCCTCAATAGACAATCAGCTTCAAGGATGCCAGGGAAGGTCAACTCTAACCAGGAGGCACAACTGCTAGCTACCCAAGCAGGCCACTCCTAAAAATGAGGTCTCCTGGGGCTGGCACAGTGGCACAGTGGTTAAGTTCGCACGTTCCGCTTTGGCGGCCTGGGGTTTGCTGGTTCAGATCCCTGGCACAGACCTAGCACCACTTATCAAGCCATGTTGTGGCAGGCATCCCACATATAAAGCAGAGGAAGATAGACACGGATATTAGCTCAGGGCCAATCTTCCTCAGCAAAAAGAGGAGGACTGACAACAGATGTTAAGCTCAGGGCTAATCTTCCTCAAAAAAAAAGAGGTCTCCCAAGAAATGCCTATAGCCTTCAGAATGGGGCTGAGTCAGTGGCTGCTAAAATCATGAAAAGTGGATGGGCAATTCTATAATGAATGGATGGGCTATGCACCACATAATCCTACTAGTCAATATTATCAAAACTAAAAGTGGGACAACCAGACATTGTATGCCTCCTGATGTGATGCAGTTGTACCAGCTATGAAGTAGCCTCAGCAAAAGCAATCAAACCTGAATGGACTCAAGTCTCTAGATATCACTGCAAGTTTACAGGAAACACAGGGGACAGAGAACCATGTCACATAACACTGTGAGGTTACAATCAGCAAGTCTAAAACATGGGAAATTCTGTTAGATAAATGTCCACTTGTTTTTAACAAATACATTGCATTTAAAAAACAAACAAATGGAGAGGGAACATTTTGAGAATCCAGGAAACTTCAGAGACACAACAACCAAATGCAATGTGTAGACTGTGTTCAGACCCTGATTCAGAACAACCAGCTGTCAAATGACATTTTTGAGACACCTCGGGAGAACGGAATACGGAGAGGGTGTTAGATGATAAAGAAATATTGCTGACTTTGTTGAGTGTCATAATGGTACAGTGGTTACATCTTTTTAAAAGGCTTTATCTGTTAGACATGATACACTAAAATTTTTAAGAGATGAAATAAAATATTTGGGAATTGCTTTTAAAACACTCTAGGAAAAAAATGTGAAGGTGGATATATAAAGTAAGAATAGGAGAATGTTGGTAACTGTTGAAGCTGGTGATTGACATGAGATTCATTAAACTATTCCCTTTCCTTTTATACTCACTTTAAAATCTCAATAATAAAAAGTTTCCATTAAAAAGAAAGAAAATGTGGTGAAGAATGGTGGATAATTAACATATCAACCAACCAACAATGCTGCTCAGTGATTAGATGACCACTCAGTGCCTCTGAAGACTGAAATGAAGCTCTCCCTGCAGTGACAGACAGCTGTGGTCAACAGTCCTAATTTGGCAACAAAGCAGTGAGATAAGACACACATCTAAAAGTAATAAAGACCAAGGTAATTAGATGCTTTTATGGAGATTACTATAAACTGAAATGGAAAAAAGTAATCCAGGATAATAGGCTGATGTCCAGGGGGGTTGAGTATATAAGCGCCAACTCAGGAAAGAGGACACTGAATCACTAAGAGTCTTCTCACCTCAACAAAACCCCGACTCCTGACCATGTCCTGCTATGGGATCACCTCTCAGTGCTGCTGCAGTGTCCCCAGTGGCCCAACCACCATCATCTGCTCCTCCGACAAATGCTGCCAGTGGGGGGTCTGCCTGCCCAGCACCTGTCCACACCAGATCAGCCTCCTCCAGCCAATATGCTGCACCCCGTGCCCCCTACCCTGCTGTGAGTCCAACACCTTTGTGCCATGCTGCTGGCTGCTCAGCTCCTGCCACCCGATCCCAGGACTGAGTGGGATCTCCCCGATGACCCATATTCAACCTCACTGTTGTATGCCCTGCTGCGAACAGCCAAGTCTTTGCAGACACCCACAATAGACTACACAACATCCTATATGTATGTCATCTGGGATCTGACAATCACTGCTGCCCAGATCATTGCTTCATACAAGGACTTCGCAACAGCCTTCACATATTCCATTCTTTGTTCCTTACTTTGTTCCTCACTGTGTTCTTCTGCTCTCTTGGGTTTAGAGATCTCTTTTCTATGGGCTATTTTACTGCTCAGTGAGATATAATAAATAAGACTATTAGCTAATAAACTTCATTTTTCTGGCTTAGCAAACAACAACAGAAAAGTGATAGGGTACACAAGAAATTTGCCAATGACATTTCCTAGCAGTCTGAAGTTTCTCCCTCTTATTGGAATCCCTACATTACTTCTTCTCTCCTCTAGTTTCTTCTACAACTTCTTTTTTCTCCTATCTCCTCTTTATTTTCATTCACAAAAATCAGTCTTCTCTCTAACTTCTCCATGCTTATTTCTCTCTCTACCCTGCTAGTACATGAGAATAGTGACTCAGATCTCTGACTGCAGAGAGCATAATTGACCCACAGCCCAGCTGCTGTGCTCTGAAATCTGCTTCTGCATTTGCACCACGGCCACACCTTGCATGAGCTGCTTCCAGCCAATGACTGAGGGTGGCAGGGATACCAAGGCAGGCTTGTTCCTAAGGCATGTGGGACGACTCAAACTTTGCAGTGGCCTTGCTCAACTTGCATACAATTGCACATCAGTCTAAGATATTTCCTTCCTTTCCTCTCTCCTTCACCTTGGGTCAGACCTGCACTGCCATTTGAGAACTTTTCCACCCTCTTTTGGGCTTCTTCCCCAATTTTCCTCATAGTCATTGCCCCTAAAAAAACTCCTGCAGGATAATCCCATCTGGCAATCCAGACTAACACGAGAAAAGCTTAGGCTTATGATTTCGGCAGAGTGGTGCTCACAGATCTATTTCTCTAGTTGTGTCTGTTCTCTTCCTTGCCCAAACCTCAATCTCCACCTCTCAACAGGAAATTTGTTTGGCTGTGCCATTGCCCCTTGCGGCAACAACTGCTGGTTGCCTCCCAATATCTATTCTCTTTTTTCTCTCATAGTAATAGAACTTCAACATTTTAATTGGGTGCCTGGACACTCAGAATAAAGACTACATTTACCAGCACCCCTTGCAGCTAGGTGTGGCTAGCTAGCTAGCATGTGACAACCTCTGGCCAATGGGGTAGCAACAGGTCATATCCTTACAGAAAAAAGATGCATCTTTTCCTTCCTGCTGGCCCCATGTAGATGTGGTGATGAACTCAGTTAGATCAGGAGGACGAGCAGTACTCCAGGTAGACAAAGCAATGAGATGGAAGGAGTTCGGGTCGCCGGTAAACTTTGTGGAACAGAACCCCCATGCTAGCTTGGACTTTCATGTTAGAAGAAATAAACTTTTTTTCTCTTTAAGTCATTGTTATTTTAGATCCCTGTCACAG